GAACCTGGATGGCTGGGTTCATAGCGCAGCACGCTAACCGCTACACTACCACTGCCCAAAAGACACCAGACATCTTCATCTAGTGTCTCATCTGGTGTCTCCTGGTATGAGCTCTCACCTGGCCACAAGTGAATGTCTTCCCACGACGCGACGTGTCGTGACCGGGCCTTGACATCGGCCTCAGACACAATCGATTGCCAGGCTCGGCCTACATCTCACCGCGATGGGCTCCAGCAGATGGACCAGACGGGGTGGCCCCCTGGCCTTTCAATCTTCACCTTCTCTTCGCCGTTCTTGTTGCGGATGCTCACGACGCCGTTGAACATCCCCAGAGCCAGGTACTGCCCGTCATTAGTCCAGCTGGACAGACGTGGAAAGCCGAGAAGCGGGAAGCAGAGGATTGCGGCGGTCTTGGCATGACGGCGGTCATTCAAAACGTGGGGTTATATTGCGTTAAATGCAACAACATACTCAAGACAGGATACAGAAATAGTGGGCACATGTATACATGTAAGTACGTATACTTTTTATTGCAGGTGATGAGCACAGCCCCTAAAGAACAAAACGCCAAGCGGCCAGCAACAAATGGCAATATTCAAGGTGTAATAGATAACAATGGTATGCATGTTTCAGTCAACTGCTCTCCTCCCTGCACGTGGAGCCTACTTCTGATATAATTTATGTCTTTTCAACCAGTTTGATCCCAAATGTGCTATCGGTATCCTGTCATGAGACGAAATGTCACTTTGAATCCCAGTGCAACCCTTTGAGACAATGACCCATGTTACATAACTACTCCTGAAGATTCCTTCAAGCGACCTCTGCTCCACTTTCCCACCTGCTCTTCCACTGACAGGAAAGTTCGCCGCGTGACAAACCAACATTTGAATTCTCACGAGCAGGAATTTTTCAAAATTCCAATTTAATGCGATGCGCATTTCGTGCAGTAATTGATGGCCGTTAAAATTATTGACACCTCAGTACCCGGTTTAATCACAAGTGGCTGACACCTGGATATGAACCAAGGGGCTCATTGTTGTGACCTCTAATCCGCCCAACCACCTGCACGCATATTTTTTTCCGCAGCACGTGTTAAAACACGCGTGTGTTTTACCGCAGCAGGCGTTACCTGCAGCATTTGCGGCTGGAAGCCTTGTGCTTCTGCACTGACTTCTGCTCTGGTGACCACAACCCTGGCAAACATGAACAGAAAGACAGCATTAGCATTATATAAACAGACAGGTAACAATTCACGTGCAAAAAAAATTAACCCGTAAAAACTAAGTTTTTCACTATAAATCCTTTATATGTGTGGCGGCTAGAGTCATCTCGTCCTCTGGCTTGATATGGCTGCCACCTATGGGTCAGATGATTGTCTGCCAGCATTAAGCAATTGGTAATTCAATATTTAAAACATTTTCCCTAAACAGTGTAAAATTTTGGAAAATTAATTGTCACGCACAACGAGTCTGTGTGCAAAATGTCAGCTCGATTGGATCACGGGAAGTGGGTTAAAAAACGACCGAAAGATTTGCACGGTCGTAAGCAAGCAAGCAAGCACGCAAGCAAGCAAGCAAGCAAGCAAGTGAACTTAATATAAAGGATTTAATAAAAAGCACAGCCTCTAAGCATTATGCAAAAAACATCAGCAACCCCATAAGAAGTGCCTTGTGGTCAGTCCTCTTGACTTAGGCCACTGTCAATATAAATTTGAGCAAATGTGATTGACAGGCAGCAGCGATACAGATGTAGAAATTGTCGACCGATTTCATTCTCATGGTTTTTCAGGCCTGCACTTTTAGTCTGTTATGGCGGCTTTGTCACATCATTTGCAAATTTGATCAAAACTATTTACGGTATCCTCGTATATTTTCTTATCTTCCATATATGTACAGAAACTCATTATGCATTGCTGTGGTGCATTATGGGTACCTCTGTCTCCACGTAAAAATGTTTTAGTCCACCAGCCTATTGCTTTCCAGACCAATATTATCCCGCGGCATATGTTTAAACAAGCAAACTCTCAAACGAATTCGACCTGGGTCTGATAAGCAGTCAAGCTTGAATTTCGATTTAAAGCTTTCGTGACTGCAGGGATTCATCTTCTTGGTTCTTTCGGTAAAGTCACGTAGAAGGGAAGTAATAAAATAATAAAAATAAAACATAATAAAATAATTCTCACGACGTTTCGGCCACAACGCAAGCAGCCGTCCTCAGGTGAAAACCAGGTCTGTCGAGGCGTCTGAACGCTGTCGCCTCGACATCCCTTCTACGTGACTTTACCGAAAGAACCAAGAAGTCAAGCTTGTCAAATGCTTTTTTTTTGAATGGTGCTAAGTATGTTATACAGAGTGCTCTTACCAATAATGGGGGGTAGGGGTGGTGGAAAGGATTCAATTCACTCTAATGCACTCACCAAAATCGCTAGAGGAACATGAGGCCAACTGGTGGCTCACGGGGTTATAGGCCACACTCTGGATGACGTCATTGTGCCTGCAGAGACATGGGGTTGGGTAATGGGTCAACGGTCTATGTATTCATTCTGTCCTGCAAATCATACTCAGTTGCACACTCATCCAATCATCCACTCCGTCGAGTATTCTCTCATCCAGTCACCCATCTAATCATCCAATCACTCATTTACCCATTCACTCAATCATCACTCATCCGTTCATTTACTCTCATCAAATAAAGGGCATCAATCTCCCAATGTAGTAATTATTTCCTTATCAATGTATGTGGCCAGGTAGTGCAGACAAAAACTGATATTTTATCAAGCACTAAAAATTACATTTATTTGAAACACAGATGTGGTTGCATTCAAGGACCCATAAACCCAATTCACACTGCATTGTTTATCTGCCCAGAGATATTTTGTCTGGTACTTGACCCCGTTTGCATCCCAGTTCTCCCGGGACACAAACTAGTCTCAGTGAGCATATATGACCCTTGTTATTTAACAAAACGAAAGTGACTTCCTGCTCAAATGATCCCTGAGGCCGGTAACTCATCTCCAATGTTTAGCCCTGAGGCAAGGGTTGGAAATTTCACATTTCTATGGCAGGGCTATGAGTTTATGCATAGGACCTCCCCCACAAAAGTGGTGCTCAATTTATTGAACCCCCAGATGGATGATGGGCTCGAGTTTATGCCCAAACATAGATTTTAACTCATGACCTTTCCGACTGTTAGCCAACCGCTCTACCCCCCTGAACCACCTGGTATACTGTATATGCGAGTTGATGTATAATTGCGGCAAACCCACAAGTGTAACTAGATTTAGGTACAGAGGACCATTTGTCCTGCGATGCACTTCGATGACACTCCACGTCCTCTCTTGTGCCAAACAGACTTTTCATCTCAATAGGATCCCACCTGGTTTTTTAAGCGCTGTGCGTGCATGCATCACTGCTTCTGTATACGAGTGCATATACATTTGTAAGCCTACAAATGTAATTGGTCTCAAGTCGCTCTAACGCGTTGTGATTTTTTCCCGTGTCGGCAAAGTTGTGCTGTTGCCAAGCGGCTCAAGGGATGCTGCGTGTGCCCCCAGATGTTACAGATAAGCGCATCACACGAAACCCCACGGTAAGCCCGTGTAAGCCAAGAAGCTTTAACCGTGCGTTGAGTGAAAACCCATCAGTGTGAGGATCACTTTGCCTGCAATTCACCAGCGGAGACACATCGACTGATTCACTTGAGTTACATGCTCATAGGCACTCGGCAACCTCATCACTCTCTATCGCTACCACCATGGTTGCCTTTCCCGTGAACTTCACTCACCGTCTATGTTGAGGACTCGGTCTACCAACATGACCGTTTGATCTCATCCGTACTGTGTTCAACAAAACTCTCCTCTTTCCGCTTCTTCCCTCACACCACTCCACTGTGGAATTCCCCCCCATCGTATCTTTTTCCAAGTCCTTGTAATGACCTTGCTCAAGGCAAGACACGTACAAATTCGTATCAATTACCACTTTCATTTGTGCTGTTTATTTCTGGTCGCTTGGTGTTTTGGGCCTTTGGGTCTGTGCTCAGCAACTGTGCTCTATAAGAAACCTCTTGCAATCACCCACCCATCTAACTATCAATTTTAGCACAGGGTCACAGTTTCAATTCCTGCTACTTCCCTTCATAAGCATATGTGTGCATTTCACTGAATCGGAGAGCTGTAACCATTACCCACTTAATACTGGCACCTGCACACTCAATAAAAAAAACAGTCCCTTTGTCAATCCACTGCCGGATGAAGTCCTCCAACACCAACCCATAATATGCCCTTACGTGTATTTGAGGATCCCTTCAAGCTTGGACGTCCAAATGATGACGCTTTTGTCTGCTGAGCCAGAGGCAAAGCGTTTCCCTGTGCGAGAACACAGGCGTCAATCTCCGCAGAGCAATCCTCACGATGTCGCCATCATACAAATTATATCAAAATCACATGTCATGATCATATCGTAATTATCACAGTTATATCACGAGTCAAACACATAAACATTACAGTTATGCCGTCGTCATGATCATGTCATCATCACAATCACGTAATCATTATCAGAGCCAAATCATCACAATGATGCCATCAGGATTTAATCATATGAATCTTCCTCATCACTACAATCACATAATTATTGTCATCAGCTCACCATCCTTTGCATATGCCACGCAATATACTGTGTCTTTGTGTCCTTTCAGTGGCTGTATCAGCGTCCCATCCGACGTGTCATAAACCTAGCACATGCATGCACCAAAACAAAAACATTTAGCGGCTTCTGCTGGAAAGCATTCGGAGAAGAAAAAAATTAAAGCCGGGTCTGCAACCTGCTTTGTCACATCGGAGTGAGTGACTGTGCAACAAAGGAATTAAATTGGCATAATCAGGATCATAACAACCAATCGTAGTTTGCAAATGTGCAATTTGTGTAAAAATACGTCGCTAGTAATTCCTGAGCAGCCGTGTCTATCTCTAAGCAACATGCCAATGTGTCTGAAGGTTAAAGTTTTTAAATGTGGCACGGATCGGAAATGTGTACACTGCAAATAAGTATGGAAAATAAGTACAGTAAAACCTCGTTATTTCGGTATTTGATCATTCGTAATTGGGGATAATTGGGCACGGCTGCGCTTTCAGCATATATACAGTATTAGTAATTCACCATGAGCCGAATTGCCGTACCGAATGGTCCAATTTTGGCATACAAGTGAAAGTGACGCCGCTCCACGACCAAAACAATTACTCAGTCTAGTGGTGGCGCGCGCGGGTGAAACGTTAGTGTAGTGCTGGTTACTGATGGTAAGTGTTACTCTTTTTGGAAAATAATTTGGATTTTTTATTGGGGCAGAAGCCACTGAGAAGTGCCATTGTACATCATTCGGAAGATTGCATAATTTGGCAAGGCCAGAGCCCCTTATGAGTAGAATTAACAAGGGTTTACTGTATGGAAAGTTGCATGCTTGGAATTATACTGTCAGAAGGCGGAACACATGGATCAGAGAACAAATGCAAGCTCGAGACACCATATTTGCCGTTAAGAAAAGTGGGCTTGGGCAGGACATGTCTCCAGAAAGGGGTGATGGCCGATGGGCAGAAATAACGACTGAGTGGCAGCCACAGAAGGGAATGCGCCCAAGGCAGAGGTCGCAAACGGGTTTTGATTCCTTACCCGTACCCGGCCGCACCAGGGTCGCAATCGGGTACCCGTACCCGTACCCTACCCGATATCCGGCTACCCGTACCCGGCCGGGTATCGGGTAGGGTACGGGTATCTGATTGCGACCTCTGGGATGAAGCCATGTTGCAGACGCGGGTGGGTTGATTCTAGGAACTTGAATTGTGAGAAGAGACAAGACGTTGGGAAATGAGTGACAAACGGTTACTCACCAGTGACTCACGGCCTACCCGTACCCGGCCGCACCAGGGTCGCAAATGGCTACCCGTACCTGTACTCGGCCAGGTACGGGTAGCCGGGTATCGGGTAGGGTACGGGTACCCGGTTGCGACCTCTGGCCCAAGGTGATGTCGAATGTGGGGATGCCTCATACTCAGGTGCTCAGTGCATTGTTGCATCATGGGAATGTGAGGGATGGTGACGGCTTGAGGAGGCCTTCATCCAGCAGTGGACTGATCATGGCTGATGATCACCGTTATGCAATTGTATTGAGACTAGACTGTACTTCACAGACTGTGGACACTAAACTCACCAGGACCTTGGTGCCTGCTGCCACGATCAGCTGTGTCCCATCTGGTTTGAACGCCAAGTCATTTATGCTGAGGAAACAGGTGGTTTGTTAAAGGGAAGCAAAAGTCAATGAAAATACAGTCTGTTCTCCTAGAAAGCAGTCGTTGCGTTCCTGAAGAACACCGCGTTATGATAAATAATATGGGGTAAAGCACAGTCCGCGATAACACGTGAGATGTGTACACAGGCTAAACAAAGACCGGAGGCACGTGGAAAGCATTTAGAAGCATCCAGCAGCATCCCAATGCCTCGAATTATATGATGCTACACCGAGGCAGCCGCACAACCGCTTATTCCTACTAACGCGACATAATTCTGTTCGCTCGATCGCGTTATATCTAATTCGCATTCCGCTTTCAAAAATGTGTTCCCTAATACATTCATTGCATTATATCCAATTCGCGTTATGAAAACGCGCGTTATAGGAGAATTGAGTGTACATCTGATGGTGCTTATCTTATAGCTACATACCAAGGATGTTTTTTTTCCTGCGCTCTGACATGAGGATGAAGTTTGAAAGGTGCGAAAAAAAATCTTATGGTTTCGCAGCAGCATTTCGCCTTATTTTTAACCTGATGGTGCAATTGGTGTAATGTCATTCGACGAAAAACACGATCGGATGTCTTCGAGGGCGGTGCTAACCCTCTGTGTGAGAGAACATCTTGCGGAAGCAGATATCACAGAGCTACCTCCTTCAAGTGACCGAGTCCAAAATTAACCCGTAAAAACAAAGTTTTTCACTATAAATCCTTTATATGCGTGGCGGCTAGAGTCCTCTCGTCCTCTGGCTTGAGATGGCTGCCACCTATGGGTCAGATGATTGCATGGCACCATTAAGCAATTGGTAATTAAATATCATATTTTTGTCCTAAAAAGTGTAAAATTTGGAAAAAAAATTTCACGAACATTAATTGTCACGCACAACGAGTCTGTGTGGAAAATGTCAGCTCGATTGGATCACGGGAAGTGGGTTAAAAAACGACGGAAAGATTTGCACGGTCGTAAGCGCGCAAGCAAGTGAACTTAATATAAAGGATTTTAAAAAGTAGGGGGCAGCAGTTTCCCACTTTCCCGGCTCTGCCACAGAGAGTCGTATCTTGATTTGAAGCTTTCGTGACTCCAGGAATCAATACTCTTTGGTTCTTTCGGTAAAGTCACGTAGGTAGAAATAAAATAAATCACGTTTCGGGCGCATCACAAGCCTTTGGCTCTCCCACACCTGATGACGGACGCTTGTGTTGCGCCCGAAACGTGGGGGGTGGGAGGGGTGGTGCTGGGTGGGGAGGGGCTGGGTGGGGAGGGGCTGGGTGGGGGTGGGAGGGGTGGGGCTGGGTGGGGAGGGGCTGGTCACCCCGTGGTGCCCTTATAAAACTCAACGTTTAACCTACTCACGCCGGCTTGTGCCTGCCCTCACAGTCGGCCATATTTGCGGAATACACCACGCCGCCGTTGACCCTGGCCATTGACCGAGCAACCCAACGTTCCTACCAGCTCCCTCCGCAGGAATGTGTTTCTATGTATGTACGTATGTTTAACTTCTTTCGCACCGTACGTAGCCCACCGTTCTAATCGGTGGTGCGGGGGGGGGGGCAACAACGCAACGTAACACAACATCAGCTATAAATAAATTATAAATGGCAGCACAGTCCCCACCACCACCGTATTTTAAATCAAACGTGGGGTCATTCTTCTAATCGAGTGTGCGTGTGTGAGATGGAATGTGTAACAACTTTATTAACCCTTGGCACGGCTTTGTTTGAAGTCTTGCCTTCCAACGATGCGTTTTATACTCTTTGGTTCTTTCGGTAAAGTCACGTAGGTATCATTTTATTTGAGGTATAATTATATTTCCTACCTACGTGACTTTACCGAAAGAATCAAAGAGTATAGATCCCTGCAAGTCACGAAAGCTTCGAGTCAAGATTGACGCGTTTTATACTTATTAAAAAAAACACGAAGGCTCCGTTGAGACGAAAGGCTTGTTAGTGGGAATGCAAACAAACGTCGAGCAAATGAAACGTCGACTATCTTAGCAAATTAATTACATTCTAAATATTAAAATACGAACGCGTTTAGTGTCGTGGTTACCATGGCAACCCGCACCGCGCTGTTCACTCAACACCCGGCGCGTCGCTTTAAACGCTCTAAAAGCAACGATAACATTACAACGATAACATTACGATACATTAACAACGATGCTTTACAACGATGCATAACATAACAATGGCAATATTACACTCGAAGTTTAAAATAATCGTCAACATCTCTCCCCCCCCGCCTCACCATTGCTCCGCTTTATCCTTGTCGTACGCTTTGTCGTTCCACGACGGGACGGCCCTCATGGTGACTTTTAATCTCTCCCGTAACCCTTAGTTAATTGACCCTTTTAACCGAGAAGCTAAAGTTTAATTTGTTAAACGTCTTCGTTGTTTGTTTGTTACAAAGCTCTGCACCGACGTGCAATGTGACAGAGCGCAATTTAATTCCGTACAACGTACAGGGTGCCGTGTCCATCCTCCGCGCCACCGATTGGTCGAGAACCGACCCCTTCCCCCGCCCCTTTCTTTCCCTGCAGCCAATCGGCAAGCGGCATCTTCGGCGCGTTCTTTATCCGCGCTACCAATTCGGATCGCGGCCGCCAGCGCGCATGCGCAGTTGAGGGCAAAGCGGGGCTTTCTCATTCTTAGGTTTCAAGCCGGGAACGATCAACGTGGTGCGGTGGCCTAAGGAGGAGACAAAATCGGCGACGTTTCGGGCAACGGACCTTTCTTCGTAGCGCAATTTAGGGACTCGTCGCCACAGTTATAGTCACCGATGCTCACAGCTGCAAAAATCTGACCTCTGGAAAACATTTAAGGTGGTATCTCCACTCCGCGCTTATGAGGCCCATTGGTTTGGCTGTGATGCCAACACACACAAATCCACATCTTAAATAACCACAAATTCAGTGTTTAATTACCGAAAAGAAAAGGGTACACGATTAACAAGTTCGAAACGTATAACCCGTGCCCTTTAAAGCAGTCATAATCAGATCACACTGGAGGAATCCGTTGAGCGATAAAGCGATTTGTTTACAGATGTCCAGAATATGAGAATAGGGTTTCCCATTTTTTATGGCAACAAACAGATGTTAAGATGTTAAAACACCAAACTGAAGCTTTTACAAGGAATCATGTCTGCATTAACCACAGTACTCTTTGGTTCTTTCGGTAAAGTCACGTATAAAGATAGAATAATAAATACTAATAATAAATACTATTTTATCTTTATACGTGACTTTACCGAAAGAACCAAAGAGTAATTCCTGCAGTCACGAAAGCTCCAAATTAAGTTTTTATTAACCAGTGTTTGTGGTCAGAATGCAAACCAAAAACGTACTCTAATAATAAGTGCATTGTCTTTGAAACTGATTGGTCCACACCAGAAACAGCTTTCTTTTGACCCTAGTCTCAAAAGGTGTTAGGCCAGAGGAAGCCAAAAGGCGTACAGCTCAAAGACAACGCACTGTCAGAGTAATGAGGGCTCGGCGGTGAGCATCTACATCATGGGACCTCATTTGCCAGTACCAAAATGTGAGAACAGGTTTTCCCCTTTTTTCTGGCAACAAAACAGGTGTTAAGATGGTAAAACACCAAACTGATACATTTTACAAGGAATCATGTCTGCATTAACCACAATACTTGTGGTCAGAATGCAAATAAAAAACGTACTCTGATAATATATACAGACATGATTCCTTGTAAAAGGTTTCAATTTGGTGTTTTAACATCTTAACACAGCTGTTTTGTTGCCATAAAAAAGGGGAACCCTATTCTCATATTTTGGTAGTGGCAAAGGATGTAGATGCTCAGCCACGGGCCCTCATTACTCTGATAGTGCATTGTCTTTGAGCTGTACACCTTTTGGCGTCCTTTGGTCTAACACCGTTTTCAAACTAGGCTCAAAAGAAAGCTGTCTCTGGTGTGGAACAATCACTTTCAAAGGCAATGCATATATTATCAGAGTATGTTTATTTTCTTTGCATTCTGACCACGAGTATTATGGTTCATGCAGACGTGATTCCTTGTAAAAGGTTTCAGTTTGGTGTTTTAACATCTTAACACCTTTTTCGTTGCAAGAAAAAAGGGGAAAACCTATTTTTGTTATTTTGGTACTGGTTAAGGAGGTGTCCCATGATGTCGATGTCCAGAAGTTGTTTAGTAAGAAAGTGTTCCAGAGTCATGTAACGATGGGGACCCTTCGTTCGTTTCTCAATCCTGGTGTTAAACTAAAAAAAAATACCGAAAGAACCAAAGAGTTTAAAAACAATTATGCGGGTTTTGTTTTACCCAGGAGTGAGCTTAATGACTCTTCTTTTTCAGGAGTGCCCTGCCAACTCTTTAGAAAACATTTATGACATAAATGAGCGAAAGTCGCACTGCTGTTGTTCGTCTTTTATTTTTGTTTGTTTCCACCTGTGGAGGAGACGTACACCGTTATTTCAAAGCGAAAATAAAAAATCAACGCCCCCATCCCTGCCAACTCTTTAGTTACATTTTCTGACAAATCTGAGGGTGTAATCCGGTTCATGGATGGGTTTATATTTTGCACCCCGATGGTATTTTTTGTATTGTTGTAATGTTCTGACCCCGTGCCCCGCTGACTGAACATCTGTGGGGGGAAAAAAGCTTTATAGCTCATCGGATTCCTCCTGCAGTATTAATACATATTTGTATTTGTGGCCAAGTCGCTTTGAAAGAGAAGCTAATAGCTCAGTGGGCCCTACCTGCTAAGATACAAAATAGTTTAGTTTTATTAGTACAGTAAAACCTTGGATTGCGAGCATAATTCGTTCCGGAAACGTGTTTGTAGTCCAAAGCACTCGTATATCAAAGCACTCGTATATCAAAGCACTCGTACATCAGTTGTGATCACGTGACGCTCGGCAGACAAAGCGTATACACGTACCACTCGTATTGCAAGACCTCGCTCGTTTATCAAATTAATATTTATTTAAAAATTAGCTCGTCTTGCAAAACACTCGCAGACCAAGTTGCTCGCAATCCGAGGTTTTACTGCTATTCAGATTCTGAAACCCCCTGCGAAATATCGCGAGACTACGCGGGCGCGGCCTCCGCGAGATTTCATTTCGTACACCGCACAAGCATGGGCAGTGGGCACGCGCGCTGCGTCACGTGGCAACGCCCCGTCCATTCGTTAGCGGCGGCGTGGGGGGGGGAGGGGGGAGGGTGTGGCCCCGCCCCGCGCCGCCTCGCGCATCCTGAGTGGGAAATCCAAAGGCGGTTGGCGGGAAACGCGAGGGAAGTCGAGGAGGCGAGAGAAGCGATGGCGACGGAGGCCTCAGGCGGGTAAACCAAAACAACCACCAAACACACACGGTCGGCCTCGTCCGTGAGCCGAGCGAGGCGCTAACGTCGCGGCGGAGACGGAATGACGGCTGAGGGTTAATGATGAAGCGGTAGGAGGGTGGGTAGGTGGGTGAGGAAGATGGCGCGCGCCGCGAGTGGGGGGTTAGTCGGGCCTAGTGTAAAACGCACATGGTCCAACGTTACGTGACATTAGTAATGTAAAGTTGTCGTTGTGAGGAGAATGTTTGGGTGGTGGTGGTGGTGGTTGTTGCTGCTGCTGCTGGTGGTGGTATTATTCGACGGGCGCTACGCACGCGGAGACGAAGCGATACGCATGTGCTTGAGGCTCGGGAGCCGTGGGGTTTGCTTCGCAGGGGTCGGAAGCGAGAGATGGCGGCGGCCTGGGAATTACTTTAATTTAAATTTCGATTTAAAGCTTTCGTGACTGCAGGCATTCGTCTCATTGGTTCTTTCGGTAAAGTCGCGTAGAGGGAAACTAATAAAAATAAAACGTGATGAAATAAAATTATCACGACGTTTTGGCCACAACTTTAATGCAGCAGTGGATTGTTGCACGGCGGCTGAAAATTAACGGCGTTCTTACATTGGCCGTATAATATTGTTGCGTGCATTCGAATGGCGTGATACCCCCACTTAGATTAAGTTTGGCACAAGTTACGTAGTGTTGGCCCGATTTCACTAACACGCGTTCTCTATTAATACGAATGTAACACCCCATACTATTACACAGTGCTCGAATTAAGACTATTGGTAAACTACCTAGAGAAGTGTATATTTAGTCATGCAATAGTGTGTCACTTCTACACGTTATTGTGCACTTAGACCTGCTAAGACTCACTGAGGTGAGAGTGTGCAGGCATTAGTTGGAATGTTTTGGGACGCATCGGTCACATGGATCGATCATAACTATTGATGAGTAGTAACTAACATGCCTATTGACACGGTACAGTACTAATAACATAGTACCGTACAGACCACGAATCGCAGCAATTCCGAAAATAAAAATTCCGAAAATAATGTATTTATAGTCGAGTAAAATTTTATATCGCTCCGAATTTTTTTAAATAAAATATAACGTTAGTGTTTAGTACTGTCCTTTATATGAATACTGCTAATGGTAAGTACGGTCTAAACTTGGAATCCAGTATTAATACTCCTGATTATTGTGTGGCGTCAGTTTTCTGTGTATATGATAGTTGCCCGCAAACATCAATTGTCTTCGCTTTCTGTTAAGGCTATACGGGGAATTTTTGTTGTCTTATTCCCGTGCGCGTGTTTCGGTGGCGCGTTATCTTCTTCTTCCTCTAACCGTGTGCTCTGTTGTGTGCATGTGAAACTGTGTCTGTCTGGCAGTAAAGCGTTGCTGAGCAGTGGAGAGGTTGCGGGAGCATCCTCCGTGCCAGACGGCTCAGCCGTTGCCACCATCAGTAGTGCGGGCGCCAATGGTGAGCCGGAACCTGCTCGTTCTGGGAAACCAGAACATGTCCCGGCAGCACCGTCACCACAAAGGGAGAAACGCGCCGAGGAGTCGTCAGAAATGAAGGGGGGATTGCCGGAGCAGCCCAAACCGGTGAAATCGGAGGAAGCTCGCGCCTTGGCAGAACCAAACAAACGCCAGGAACTGCTCGAGTTATCAAAACCGAAAGAGCCGTCCGAGTCGAAGGAACGGCAGGAAGCGGTCAAGCCTGCGGAGCCTAAATTAACGAGCAGCAAACCACAAGAACCACTTCCATTATCAAAACCGGCAGAATTGAAGGGACTGCATGAACCAGTGAAATTACCTGAAACTAAATTAATGAGTAACAAACCACAGGAAGCACTGCCATTATTAAAACCAGCACGATCGGAAGAATCCAAGGCGCTGCAGGAACCGGTAAAGTCGACGGACCCAAAAGTTTCGGGGGAACCAAATAAACCGCAGGAACCTGTGGCGCTGACAAAATCGAAGGAGTCGGGAGACTTTAAGGTTTCACATGAATCGGTCAAGTCTGTGGAACCTCTCGGATCCTCAAAACCACAGCAGCCAGTGAAACCCAAGGAGGACACCAAATCGGATAAACCACAGGAGTTGGTAAAATCGGCAGAACCTAAGCAACTGGTGGAACAAAAGCAACGACAAGAATCGGTGAAATCTGCAGAACCCAAGGACATGGCGGTGCCTAAGACTCAACCTGAATCTGTAAAATCTTCAGAACACAAGAAAGAAGTGGAACGAAAGCTGCTACCACAAGAACCAATGAAATCGGTAGAGTCCAAGAAAGAGGAGGAACAAAAGCAAACGCAACCACCACCGATGAACTCGACGGAACAAAAGGTGGTAGAATTGAAAACTCGTGACTCTGTAAAGTCTGCTGAACCCAAGAAAGAAGTGGAACGAAAGCAACAAAAAGAACCGGTGAAATCTGCAGAACACAAGGAGATGGTTGAGCCGAAGACTCGGCAGGAACCTGTTAAATCGGCAGAACCTAAGAAAGATGTGGAACGAAAGCAACAAAAAGAACCGGTGAAATCTGCAGAACACAAGGAGGCGCTTGAGCCGAAGACTCGGCAGGAACCTGTTAAATTGGCAGAACCCAAGAAAGAGGTCGAACGAAAGCAACAAAAGAACCGGTGAAATCTGTAGAACACAAGGAGACGGTTGAGCCTAAGACTCGGCAGGAACCTATTAAATCGGCAGAACCAAAGAAAGAGGTCGAACGAAAGCAACAAAAAGAGCCGGTGAAATCTGTAGAAAACAAGGAGGCGGTTGAGCTAAACTCTTGGCAGGAATCGGTGAAATCGGCAGAACCCAAGAAAGAGGTGGAAGGAAAGCAACACAAAGAACCGGTGAAATCTGCAGAAAACAAGGAGGCGGTGGAAGAACCCAAGGCAGCAGCACCGGTGGAACTGAAGGAATCGGAAAAGTCAAGAGAGCCGAAGTTACCGGCGAAGCACAAGGAAACCCGGAAAGCGGCCATGAAGAGAGCGGAGCAAGCCGCAGAAAAGAGCTTGCACGCAGACGCAGAAGGTTCCACCTCTGGTGTAAGCAAATGCATCATTGAGCAGTGCACCCAAACTCGATGCTAGAGGCAGGTCCACGCCAGAGAGATCAGTTGCGCAACCAAATCGCGCCAAGTTTATTGCGCAATCAGGATAAGAGTGTCCGGGAAATTCAAAGCCTTGGTATTATTTCATTGCCATAGTCTCCAAGTTATAAGACACTCCAAAAAGTTGTGCCAGTGTCAGTAAAGTTATTCTAATTTGGTCTCGCACATGCACTTCTACTGGATGACAACACACAGCCTCAGCTATTCTTTCTTTTTAAATGCAATGAAAAATCTGGAAAATGCGATAACGACATTCAGTGCTAATAACTTTGTCTTTGAACAGTTCCACGATTTCTGCATGGGTAATCTTCCATTGTAATTCTTTTTTTCTTAACTTTCATTCCAATTGTGTGTTCGGTGTTATTACATGAACAATCTGTTTGGAGATCTTAAAGAAGTGCAACTGTACCTTTACCTTGCAGGCAGCTGAGGAAAAAGAGAAGTCTGAGGGTAGTGGCTCAGTCACCGAAGCCAAAGTCGAAGCCAACACTTCTGAGTCACCGATGCCCGAGGGCTGGCGCCGTTTGGTGATGCAGCGGCAGGCCGGAGAGACGGCCGGCAGATACGACGTCTACATATTCAGGTGTGGTGCGGGCAAGGTGGGGGGGGGGGGGGTAGCAGAGAGTGACAGAGAAAAGTGAAACCCCCCTCCTTCACTTGTTCCTGTCCTTCACAGTCTTGTGTCAGTTGTTTGACCCGCTTATTGTTTCATATTATCACATGTCATCCATTTGATCTCGGGTCATCCCGTGTAAGTAGATGATAGGCATTACCTTCATTCAGTCTGCAGTCATTGCGCTGCAGTGCCGAGATGTTAACTCCCTTGCCTGGTATGGAGGAGGTTGTGGGTTCGATCCCGACCCTGACGATGCCTGCATATTTGGAGTTTGCATGTTCTCTCTGTCGCCATGTGGATTTTTTCTTTTCCCTCCATATCTAAAAACATGCGTTTAGAGTATTTGGCTGCTCTACATTTCCACGTGATAAGCCACTAAATTTAGCTATTATTTGTGGCGAGGCACTTTTAAAAAAGAGCTTTATAGCTCCGTGGCCCTTACCTGGTAAAATAAAAATGGTTTAGTTCATAGTTTAGTAAATACCAGCCAGTCAGTTGCTTGCACTTTATTGGGTTGTAGCAACGCATGGTTGGTGCAGCGATTTCCTTCACTAAACTGTTTAAAAGTAAGAGTTTCCCTATTTTGAAGGTGGGGAAGTACAGTCTTCATCCCATAAGCTGTCACTACCTATTGTACGCTTGTTTGGGAGCTGTGAACGCTCTACATAAAGCAACTTTTTATGCCACCCAATGGATTACCAAACTCAACGAAGCGTTAAAATCTGTGACCAGTTGCTTTGCACGTCCAATTAGCACTGTTGGTTACGTACGGTGCAAAAGAAGTTCAACATACAAATGCCGTAAAAAAGAGCAACCGAGAAAGTGTTCACAGCGTGTTCTAATACTGTGCCGATGCTGCTAGAGTTTAAAAGTTATTAACTCTTGAAAAAAAATTCTCATTTAAACCCCCCCCCCCCCTCGCAGCCCGAGTGGTAAGAAGTTCCGCTCGCGCCCGGAGCTGGCGCTCTTCTTAAAAACGCTGGGCGATACAGCGCCCTCCGCCGATGACTTCGACTTCCGTAGCGGCACCGGCAAAATGGCAGCGGTGGCCGCCAAGATGCGAGTTGCTTCGCCCCGGGGCAAAAGCGAAACTCGCCGGAGCAAGAGTCCCCGCGCCACCACCGCCGAGAACTCCCCATCTACCCCGCGCACGCCAAAATCTCGCGCCTCCGCCCGGAGGAAGTCTCCCGCCTCTGCCACCAAGAAGGGTGGAGACGCAACGCCGCCAGCATCGTCGTTGGAAAAAGTGGGGGGGCGGCGGCCGTCGCGAAAGACGGCGGCAGTGACGGCCGAGGTTTCGCCTTCGCCGTCCCGAAGTCGTCGCAGCCGCAGCCGAGAGACGTCGATGACGCCGCGTAAGCGGGCAAAGCCGGCGGCGCCCCGGGAGAGCAACGATGGGGGGGACGATGAAGACAAAGAGGAGGAGGAAGCTTTGCCACAGCGGCACCACGGCAAGAAGAGGGCGGTGCTGAGCAGCGATGACCGCGAAGACGAATTGTGCACGCCCAAGAAGCGGGCGAGGGGTCCGAGCGCCGGTGCCAAAGAAGAAACGACCGGTGATGGAACCTCAGCGGAGGTGAAGAAAGTTGGAAGCCCAGGTAGCGCCTGATGACTCCCGTGTGCCTGGATGTTGTGGTGGTGGAGCCGCCGGGCTTTAGCGCCGGTGGGAAGAGGGAGGAGCGGGGTCAGGTGGTTCCCGTGCGGTTGGCCCCTCGCTGGCGCCGAGGGCTGCGACGCAGAGAATGTAGGCGACGCGACGAGAGTGGTGCAGAGAGACGCGTCGCGGTCTCACTCAGGTTGTGTGTTCGGTGTGTGGGAGGCACGTGCAGTGTGCGGGGTTTGTGTGTCTATTTAGTGTGTGGAGTGTTGCGCTATGTGTGGTGTGTGTGAGTGTATTTGGTATGTTGTGTGGTATGTGTCCATGTAGTGTATGTGCAGTGATTAGGAGGTATTCGGCATGTAACGATTAATATATTGATTTCTATCGAATGTTAACATTTGAATTTAATCTCATAAATTGGTACAATGGCTTTTAAAGGGCCCCCCCTGCCTCTGTCCAGGGGCGGCCCGTCCATATTGGCGAACTAGGGCGGGCGCCTAGGGCACCAAGTTAAATGGGGCGCCAAATTCGAGGAAAAGAATACAACTAAAATATACAAATTAAAGACCGAAGATATTATTTAAATCCCCGTGCGCATAGAGGGAATATGAGTTATTCATTTCTCAACATTTCTGAGAATGTATTGGTTGGACCTACTGACGGATGGACAAACCGAATAATTATGCCTCTATTAAAAAAAAAATACTCTTAAAAACATTAAACGTAAAATAGAGGCTAAATGTTTCCCAGTTTACCAAAAAACCTCCGCCTCGTGCTGCCCTTGGGGTTTGGGGTGGGGGCACCGGTTGCATGGTTTGCCTAGGCCGCCTGTTGCTGGCAAGCTAATCTAGGGCTGCCTCTGTCCACCCAGCAGTGTGAATTGGTTCACCATGTCGATCGGTGGGTGACGTGTGAATACTTCCACCTTTTCCAATATCAGTTTCGAAGAGTAGGCAAAATATACCTTGACATGAAATGTTATATTGGGGAACCACTAATTGTTACAAGCCTAATGCCTCGATCGACTAGCTTGTGTACGTGTTCTGCGTGTGTTGTAAACGATCAGACTTGGTGGAGATCACACGGCAAGCCCCATGTATAGGCGTGTAATGATACGTTTGATTTATCGTCCATCGCTCACGGTTAATCTGCATCCTTATCTTACCCATTCTGCTGTGTGTGTGCGCGTATGCCAGCGGTATTGTTAAGTGCATTGATGAATCGTGGGTTAAATTGGTCTCCTTGTACGGGAGACGTCCTGTAATGTAGAAGTGATTGATGTGTCGAGGTACACCACAATCGGCTGTGTCGCTTAAATTAAGGACCTTTCCACGTTAACCGTTTCTGTCGTGGTTTTGCACCCCGGGAGTTGACGTCTTATTGATCGTACATTTTTCAGTGGTAAGGACGATACTGATGAAAATGGACACGCGGATTGAATGATAGAATCGGAAAACGACGATACTGATTGTCACATTTTCTTCTTAATCCAGGTCTACGCCTTTCGAGATCACTTGCGCAACCAAAATCACTCAAAATCGTGCAACCTAATCACCCCCAGCAGCTTTGTCCACATCTGTGTGAGTAGTTGTACAACAAAAAGACATGTCTGAGTGTCTATATCTGGATTGTAACATTTTTTTTTTACAATTCAGAAACTGTAGCGTGTGATGATGCGATACGTTGCTATCATTTCTCTGAGCAGATCGATTGTTGTGAGTAGTCTATACTGTGAGCAATCGGTTGCGAAGACGTCCGCGCATAAACGATTCGGTTGCGTGCAACCAGGTTGCACGCAACTGATCGCTCGGGTGTGGACGCAACGTAACTAACGTCGAGTTTTTTCCACAGAACAAAGTTCGCGTCCGTTGTTTATACTGATCACAAGTAATTCTTGATTCCGCATCCTAACCCCAATGTGATACGCTGCCCGTGTACAGACCTTTTATCAATCCACTGCTGGATGAGGGCCGCCGCGCACCATGGGGGTTATTTGGTGATGCTTTAAGCTTTAGGATAGTCGCGTGGTGTGGGTAAGAGTTTGAGGAATTAATTCCGCTCTTTTAAGAATGGAACGGCAACTGCGTCGTTGGAACGGAATGAGCGTTTTTCTTGAAGCATTCACAGTGCGACGTCGCATGTCCGACCCACTGGCGACTGAAGCATAGGCGAATATGTGAAAAAGTCAAATGCCGCGTGAACGTTTTTAGATACTGCCAGGTTTGCGCCGTTAGTGGCAATTAGGGTTACTGCACACAAATCAAGCGCAAACTTTTAAAAGTCGGGATAATGCTTTACTGTACTTAAGAGGTAAGCGATTGTAGGCTAGATGAAGAAGACATGACCGTGCGATAAGGTCAGATTTACAATCACCAGATTGTGACCGGCCGTTGCACCCCCGCACACAGCTACTGACTGCTTCACTGGATGTAGGCAGTTAATTGGGCTGGGCGGATGTTGTACTGTATATACAAAATGGAGAGTGTTAGAAGTTTGGGGCCACAGCTGTGTAGATGGCCGAGGTAAGTCTCGAGTGGATGGGGGCGGGTGATGGTGGTGGTGGTTCGTCAGAATCGTAAGATTTCGGTGCCAAATTATACTTTCCCCACCCCCCACCTGTCCACTGTCTTGTACGATATTTTTCAAGTCCTTATGTAATCTTATCCCACCCCTCCATATAATAATTTAGTGTAATTCCATACCATTTTCTTGGCGAGACTGCATTAGCAGTGTTTTGTAATCGCAAATAACAAAAAACACTGCGTCCTTCAATAGCCCTGCCCTAAAAGGAAATGCATATGGTAATACAGTGATACACGGCGTGATGAACTGCGATGACGAAGGGGCATTGCTTGAAACGTCGCGTATGATATCTTCCTATTAGGGTAGCATCTTGCTTCACGCGTTGAGTTTGTGTTAGCATGATTAGATGTTGACGTATAGTTTTTGTTTGGTTTTAGTCATCACAAGACTCAAGGTCTGTTCTTTAATTTGTGTTTCTTTTGCATGTTGTTAACCGGACAAATCGGGGAGCGTCGTCAGGTCCAGTAGAGTACGTTCGTTTGTTTCTCAGTCCACTTGTCCTGATGAGGGTAGTGCTGGTGGCTGCATGTTGAGTATGGCGGTCCAGACTTCCCTTTCCCTGGCGACAGACTCTAGCTCTTCCTGGGGGAATTTCCAGGCCAGCCGAGTGACATCGTCCCACCAGTGTGTCCCTGGGTCGGTCCCTGGGGTTCTTAACCCAGTGTACAGACGCTACATTATCAGATGAACAAGTTGGGAAATATTCATTTGAAGGCCAAGGGTTGGATCGCATACGGGCCATGAGGATGTTCCAGGAGATGGATTCTCAAACCCATTTGTGCCCACGTTGAAGTGTCCTGCCTGCCATCGTGTGTGCAAGGGGTATTAGAATAACTCCCCTTTCTTCCACATCAATCAGAACCATCCTTCAAATGGAATTGGCCAAACATCCAAATGTATGAGGACTCTCTCGATAGAGTTTTAAGACTTGGGCGAGGCTTTTCCAGAGAAGTAAATGAAAATTATTTTTGCTATTAAAAAGGTAACTTTAAATAAAAATGAAATGGGGGGATAACAAGACCTTGTGATTCGTAACATGAATCATGAAATGCAAAAAAATGTTACGTTACACCGCAAACAACCTTGATTACTACAAAGGATAAAGTGTTTTTCTATATTCTTGGTTCTTTCGGTAAAGTCACGTAGATAGAAAATAAAAATATAAAAAATAATGAATTGAAAATAAAAGCTTTTATTATTTAAAATTTATTTAAAATGTTATTCTTTTTATTTTATATCTACGTGACTTTACCGAAAGAACCAAGAATATTAATTCCTGCAGCCACGAAAGTTTTAAGTCCGTGTTTTTCTACTTAATTTTAAGTGATGGTCTGGTGTATTGCTGGTCCGAAGATAGTGGTGGAAAATCAATGTTCCCATGGCAGAGGCTGGTCTACTCCTAACATCTCAACGCATGAGCCACTACTGTAACCATCACCAAAGGGGGTTGATGTTTACGACAGGACCAAGGTGAACCCTTTGTCAGGAATTTAACTCGTGATGTTGTGGTCGATTCCCCACTGTCTGCCGGGCTCATTTTTACGATGAAATCCTTATTTTAGAATTGCCACTCCGTGATAGACTTATTTTACTATTAGACACGTAGATCAGTGTTTCACTAATTTTCAGAGGGTTGGGTGGGGGGGGGCACTTTTGCCGGAAACACATCAGTGTTAGGGCCGCCACATTTGAAACCATTGGGATTTGACAACATGATGACGGGGGTGGGGGGGGGTGTTTTTACAATTGTGTATTGTCGGGGCCCCGTACGTCAGGGGCCGCAATACAGGCCACCAGGCACCACCAGTGGCCTGCGGGCCTTGCAATGAAGAACACTGGTGTAGATCGATGTAGTTTGACGTTTTTTGCGAGCTATACAAACGTATGCGCGGTCTCGTAATTTGTTTTCGACAAAAAAAATCAATCTGATTTACGCCCACGACGAGTTGTGATTGTCACCCTCCCCTCCGAGCCCGATACGAATGCCGTACATTTAATTCTTTATTCCAGCTCTTGGAATAACAGTTTGCGAAAGGACCAGCGGCATGCGCCGTTGGAAGAGGTTAAAGAGGGTTTTAGCACGGGCCATGCGTGATATCTCGTGGGACTGTCCCCCCCCCCTCCTCCGTCTTGGTGAGAGATGTCCCCAACAGAATTTTTTTGAGGCGTCAACACGTCAAAACGTGATGTTCGAGAGCACAATTGGAATGTAACTGGGGAATTCTGAAGAAATAATGGTAAGATTTCGATGTTATAGATCTGTTGTGTGGACACTTTAACCTCCTGCATTTCCCTCTCGTTGCCTTGTGTGTGTGTCTGTGTAGCACCGACTGCTGTTTAGCATTGTTTAATACTGAAGGGTTCTAATAAACACATTTTTAAACGTATCCAGTTGTGTTTGCACGTGATGTGTTTCGCTACGTAACCAGTGTGCCTAGAGGGGAGAGCGCTTTTTAAACGACGCGTTTCTGCCCGCTTTAACACGGTTTTAAAAACACGAATCGTTTGCAAAGTGCCCAAGGCGCTCGGAGAGAATGTACGAGGTCGTCGTTGCGTTGAGAGAGACATCAAGTGGAACGTGTGGATGATTGGAGAATGTGCGTGGGTTGTAATGTCACAATTCGCACTTGGGGAATACAATTTAAGCGCACTTGGGCTGGACACGTCACTCGCTACCTTTAGAAGGGACAGCAAATGGTGGTGGCGACCGATGGTCAGGAAGAGAGGATTGACGAACGTTAATCCTCGATTAACGTTCGTTCGTTAATCGAGGAGCTGCAGTAATGAGACCGTCTCTTGTTAGGTGGACTGGCTGCATCACTGGATTTTGATAGGTGGCCGATAGCTTTGGGACGCCTTCATCCAGCAGTGGACTAGATCATAATGTGCTGCTTTGAAATTTGCCTACGAAATACCGCGATGTGGATCTGGACGAGAACGCGAGTTAAAATGTTTAATTTCTCATTTTCGTGTCTAATTGCATACAATCAGTGTGCATTTCACGGTAGCTCCCCCAAAGCAGTGTGGGTGGGGCACAATTGGTTGTGTGCAACTTGCTTGCAAGCAAACTAATCGCTCCTTTGTGGACATCCCTTCAACCGATTGCGAGCTGTTGCGCAACCGGTTGCTTCCTATCGAGATCGACTACTTTCAAGAGAATTAGTTGCGCAACTGACGGCCCAGGTGTTAAAGGGCTGACGCAGCAGTGAAGCAACGTGTCGCTCATCGCAGAGTAAATCTACTTTTGAAAGTTTGTGCTTTTTAAAATCATTTATATTAAGTTCACTTGCTTGCGTGCTTGCGTGCTTGCGTGCTTGCGTGCTTGCTTGCTTATGACCGTGAAAATCTTTCGGTCGTTTTTTAACCCACTTCCCGTGATCCAATCGAGCTGACATTTTGCACACAGACTCGTTGTGCGAGACAATTAATGTTCGTGAATTTTTTTCCCAAAATTTTACACTGTTTAGGGAAAACAAATTAAATATTTAATTACCAATTGTTTAATACTGCAGACAATCATCTGACCCATAGGTGGCAGCCATCTCAAGCCAGAGGACGAGAGGACTCTAGCCGCCACGCATATAAAGGATTTAGAGTGAAAAACTTTGTTTTTACGGGTTAATTTTTTCGGCCCAAATACCGTCAACTGTGTGTAGCGACGTGCAACAATTTATTGTATCTATAAGATTGCACGACTTTGCCGCGCTGTGTTGTTGAGAGGGATCGAGGTTATAACTTTAAACCACAAATTGTGTTCACTCAGCCCGTCAGAATGCCCCAGAGGGGCCAATAAAATTGAGTTGCCACTTTTTAGGAAGTCGGCAGACGGACCCGTGCGCATGTCCTGGGCCATGCCAGAGGAATGAGGAATTTCCACCACGGGCTCAAGGACATCTGGTTGGAGACGACGAGCCATCATTGCTCAACACTCGGTTGATGTTTTTCGAATTGATTGCTTAGCCGAGGTCGTGACATCTCATTTCAGATGCTTCATCAAACCGAAATCTAGAGGCGGCTGGGTGGCTTCGGTCAGAATGCTGACCTGGCACCACTGAGGTAACGGTGTTCGAATCACGGCAGCCCTACTCAAGCGGTTTCCGAGGGGACAGGCATCCATGACGGCTCCTGACCAAACCCCGCTCCCACGTGGCTGCCATTCTTTAATTGTGTTGGTGGGGGGCCCCCACCTAAGACCCCATTGAAACCCAACATGGCTTGGTGTCGACTATCTGTTGGCGTTTGCAAGCGAGAATTTCATCAATGCTGCTTGCAGCTGTGGTTTGGCATCATCCAATGCCTCATGATGCCGAGCAGAAATGGGTGAGGTTCTGGACTGTGGCTCGTGCAGCTGCTGTGGCTGCATTGGGTACGTGGTCCACAGCTTCCCAAACAATCTGGCTGATGCAGGAGGAGTTCCAGCTTGCCGAGAGAATGTGGCAGGCCCCTTGTCACCGCCTGCAACATCCCACCACCCGCGCATGAGGAGGCTTATAGTATTTATTCTAGATTTGAAGCTTTCGTGACTGCAAGGATTCATACTCTTAGTTCTTTCGGTAAAGTCACGTAGGTAAAAAATGAAATTAAAATTAATACAAATAAAACAATACAAATCACGACGTTTCGGAGGCAACACAAGTCTCTGAAACGTCGTGATTTTTATTGTTTTATTTTTATTAATTTTAATTTCATTTTTTACCTACGTGACTTTACCGAAAGAACTAAGAGTATGAGGCTTATAGTAGTCAACACCCAGAGGTTCGGAGAGCCATGCGGCACTGCAAGGATGAGCAGTGGTCACGGGTTGCTGCGGGGATGGAAATTGCCTCGGGAAACTCGCGATCGCAAATTACGCTTTAATTACATTGGGAGGAATTGGAGCTGGTTGGACTTGCCGATGACTGGTACCAGCGGTACCAGAGGTGTCAGAGATCGGCCTCTGTGGAGGAGGCTTCTGAAGGACGCTACTGGACAGTTGGAGGCAGTCTCCCTCCAGCAACAAGAGGGCAGAGCGATGCTCACAACGATGACGAACACAGCGCCAGGAGGCTAAGCCACAGCAAGTTGGCACAGCGGGGAGCATAGGTGGTGCATCTGCCAGTCAGCTCAGCTAACCCTGCGTGTGTCTGTGTGCTGTTTGATGTTCGTGTGTGTGATTCACGTCTGTGGTGTCACGTGGTGAACACATGCAGGGATAATGAGGGAGAGTGTCCGACCTTTGCGAATGAGGAAGACCAGTCCATACTTCTCCCGTGCGCGCATGGCTGATGGTACAGTCACTTCACACAGCCTTTCACCCATTCACTCAGTCAACGCTCAGTCTCTTACTGTGAGAGGAGGGTGCGCACGGTGTGGAGATGTGAACTACCTCGCCTGGTGTACAGAAGGTCGTGGGTTCGATCCCGACCCTGACGCCTGCTGCTGTATATTTGGAGTTGTATTGTTCTCCCCGTGGTCGCGTGGATTTTTCTCTGGCTCGTCCGGGTTTTCCCTCCACATTTAGAATCAACATGCATTTAGAGTATTTGGCTGCTAGAAATTTCCACGTGATAAGCCACTTCGTTGAGCTATCATTTGTGGTCATGTCACTTCTACAAAACAGCGATACAGCTCAGTGGGCCTTACTTGCTAAAATAAAAATAGTTTCATCTACTCAACTATTCACCCTCTCAGTTACTCAGGTTGTCCTTAATGCTCACCTATTCACCTTTTACCTCTTCCAAATTCATTCTCAGCCTCTCGCTCATTCACCCGCCTCTACACTCTTTACCTGTACGTACCGAGTCAATCGCTTACTCATACTCGCCCACTCACCCACACAGTTGGCGAGATGCGGTGCCAAAGACGTTCAACATACATGCACACAATTACCGAGTCTATCACTCACCCATTTCCTCAGCCAATATGTATGAATGTATGTTGAACTTTTATCACACCGTACGTAGCCCACCGTGCTAATCGGAGGTGTGATAATGGTACTAATGGTGCTGATGATGGTTGTAGTGATGGTGATAATGGTGCTAATGATGTATGTATGTTGAACTTATTTCTTACTGTGCGTAGCTAACCGTGGTAGTGGATGAATACGCCCGGTCTCTCATTCTCACCCACCCATGCACCTATTCACTTACCTACTAATCTCACTCATTTAGCCTCAAATTGTCATTAAACCACTCGCTCACCCATTCACCGACTCATTCACCCGCTCCCTCACCCTCACAAAACTCGCCCAATCGGTCTCTAATGTTCACCCTCGTGGTCGCTAATGTGCATTGTACAATGTGGAGAGAAAACGGTCCACAGCACAACTGGAAGATACCGCGGCTCAATGGTGGAGCGAGCGGCTCGCAATCAAGAGAGAGGGCTTCTCGTTCAAATCCTGGTTGGGGGTTGACTTAGTCCATCATTCTTGGTTGCCCTACGAAGAGACTCGCCCCCACCATAGGAATGTGGGATTTCCACCTTTGGCTCAGACCTGTAAACAATAGAAATACAATTTTAACTTTTCCACATGGTAATCCATAACCGCTCGCTAATGGAGAGATTTGCGGGAGGAAGAACCACAGGCAACCGGCAATGCAGCAGCAGCCAGGCAGTGATCCGGCGCTACGAACAATTTCTCAAGCTCTGCTGCCCTCTGTATATATTAAGATACCAGGCAATTGATGAGCGTTCATACGCGTGGGAGAAAACCCACAAAAACCCACTGGGGGCTTGTGACCTGAGAGACACTGCGTGGCCACTAGCCCACCACGTGGTGGAACTGCTGCCCCCCCCCCCCCCACTTACCGTGTGGTCTCGCCCCCTAGGGCTCGCCGCCCTCCACAGGGCGTCCTGGAGGAAGTGGACCCCTCCACGCTCCCCCTTCAACCTCGTGCAGGAGACGCTCTTCCACGACCCCTGGAAGCTCCTGGTCGCCACCATCTTCCTCAACAAGACCTCCGGTGGGCGGGCGTCGACATGGGGATGGGAGGTGGGGGGGCGGCGGTCTGGCCTGGCACGTAATGGCCGTTTAGGAAACTGGTACACCCCCCCCCTGGTTATGGAACTCCCTACTGGTGCCCCCCCCCCCCCCACTGTTTATGTAACTCCCCACTGGTGCCCCCCCCCCCCTGGTTATTTAACTCCCCACTGGTGCCGCCCCCCCGGTTATGGAACTCCCTACCGGTGCAACTAAGTGGCTCTGAGTTTGGGTGTCTGTCTCTATCAAGGGGTTCATAATGGCTGTGTCAGAGACACCAGACGAGTACTGCTGATGTCTTGCATTCGAGTATAGCTCTGAGTCTCTCTCAGGGAAATCAAACGGCCATGTCGGATACACTCAGCAGCACTACTGAGGTGCATGCTTCCAGCTTTGGGCCTAGTTGTTTCCCTGTCGGGTAGCTAATAATGGCCATGTTGTAGATATTTAAACAGGTCCTTGCGGGGTGGGCTGGTAGGAACGAACAAATGAATGGCTATAATAAAATGAAATGGCGGGGGTACGATACAAAGGGAGAGTTTGAGGCCTAGTTCTAGGCTTTAGGCCTAGCTGTAGGCTTTAGGCCTCTGTGAGTTAATTTTTTATTTAAATGTTTTAATTAAAAACTATCTCAGGGAATTATAAGGGAATGTTACACTTGTTTAGCCAGGAAAGCCTCACTGAGTCTAAAGGTTTTTGTAGGGTCCTGCCAAGTGTTTGGAGTAGGGGGCGATGTTGCTACACCTAATCGGACATCGGACGGACGGACGATATAATCTATTGTAGGCTGGTTCACTTCGTTCCTACCAGTACAAGTAACCCCCTCCATCCCACCCCCACCTCCTCGCCACCCCCCCCCCCCCCTATTCACCCCACCCCTCCCCCGCGCCATCCCTGTGCAGGCCGTCAGGCCGTTCCGCTGCTCTGGGAGTTCCTCGAGCGGTTCCCGTCGGCCGAGGTGGTGCGGGAGGCGGATTGGCGAGAGGTGGCGCGCACCATGCAGCCGCTGGGCCTGCACGCGCTGCGCTCCAAGGCCATCATACGCTTCTCATGTGAGGCCGTGCGGACGGCTCCGGAACAAAACGCGCAACTCGAGACAATAATTCACGTCGAGGATATGAATAACGAAACGGACAAGCAGTCAATTCGTCTCGTTCAAATTTTCGTGTCGTTTCGCCGCGTAAAATAAAAAATTCAAGACAAGCAAACTCTGGACTAATCTAGATTTGAAGTTTTCGTGACTGCAGGGATCCATACTCTTTGGTTCTTTTGGTAAAATCACGTAGGTAGAAAATTAAAATAAAATTAAAATAAACAATTTATGAAGTTTTATTTTATACTTACGTGACTTTACCGAAAGAACACTCTGGACTGTTTTCGACACTCAGTGTCCCATCAGCAGAGTCAGGCTTAACAATAACAATCATTCACAATTCGTGACGCGCGCAGTTTTTTTGTTTGTTGTAATATTCTAGAATAAAATTGTATTTTTGTTGGAATTGTCAAAACCGCTCGTTTTCATTGAGGTGCAGACATGTGACTGACACCCTCAACGAGTGAGGAGCTGCTAGTAATCGAACGGGCGCGCCCGTAAAGTTTCTCTGCCCGGTAAAGGTTCACGCGCAACTGTTGATAATGCTGGTCAACAACAACAAAAAATTCTCGCCTGGAATTTTGCAGCTGTTCTAGACTAATTTCAGGGTGCTGATTCCAAATCTGATCTCAGATTTGCTCTATCACATCTCATTTTTATGCTATCGGCATACCCCATTTTCATTGATTTTACCCGATATTAACTCTGTCACTTATGATTGCAAGTTGTTGCGAGTCAGTGACTGTTTTAGTGTTAAAATATGGTGCTGTATTTTTAGGATAGTGTGTTTATAATATCATTTTATGTAGATATCCACATCTATTTAATATTTTTCTTCTGCAGTTTTTATTGAAAATGCAATAATTTATATCTTAAAAACCTGATGGACAAAAACTGATGCCAGATTTGGAATCAGCACCCCAAAATTACCTTAAAACCGTTGGAATACCTTAAGCCAGAAAAAGTGTGTTGACCAGTGTATAATCCACCCACGGATAATTGAAAGAGTAAAATGTAACTGACTTGAGGCCTCGGCTGCTGGAGTTGCGGTTGTCTCGTAAGAGTTTAGTTTTTTTTCTTTTTTTCATTTCCATCTTCAAATTCCCAGGCGAGTTTCTGACGAAGAAGTGGCGCTACCCGATCGAGCTGCACGGCATTGGGAAGTACGGCAACGACTCCTACCGCATCTTTTGCGTCAACGAGTGGAAAGAGGTGCGACGCTGTTTTGCGTCACGGCCACACGAGCCCCCCTTGGAGGAAGTTTTAAGGCCCGGTCATCGCCAGCAACTGGCAACGTTTGCCGTGCAATTTCCTTTTTGTAACGAAATAAAAACCTTGACTTTGTCCCGAAAGAAAAAGAGAGGAGTACAGTGAAGGATGAAATGTACGGGGAAAAATAGAGAAAAGAACGGAAGAGGGAAGGGACGCCAGTGACGGAAGTTCCTCCCCTAAACCAGTATATATACGGGGTAGTATGCCTTGGAATCTCTCATTTACTTGATTACAGCAAGCGTGCTGTGACAGTTCCACCTGAAGACGGACGCTTGTGTTGCCTCCGAAACGTCGTGATTTTTATTTTATTTTACTTTTATTAATTTTGATTTTTTTACCTACGTGACTTTACCGAAAAAACCTAAGAATCTGAATAAGACGGACAGAGAGAAGGAGGGCATGGCTCAAGATGAGTAGCAGGGAGAGAGGAGGAGAGGGAGCCATGGAAAGGAAGCTGGCGAGAAGAGGAGAAGGAATGAGTCAAGATGTTGGGGGGGGGGGGTGAGAGGGTGAGGATAATGATGAGAGGAGAGGGAGAGAGAAGGAAGGAGTGAGCTGCAGTCAGTTGCATGGAGGAGTGGCGTCTGTTTTCATAGCGGGCGGCAGGGTGAGGGCAGGGATTCAGAGTGGGGGTGGCCACACAGTAGTCACGTGATTTACGGAAGGCTTGAACTGATTTAGACATGGATGTCGTGTTGTTAGGTTTTTTTCGGTAAAGTCACGTAGGTAAAAAATTAAAATTAATAAAAGTAAAATAAATTTTTATTATTTTACTTTTATAAATTAGAATTTTAAAATTAAAATTTTTATTTTTTATTTTTTTTATTTTACTTTTATTAATTTAAATTTTTTACCTACGTGACTTTACCTAAAAAACCTAAGAATATGGATGTCGTGGCCAAAAACCTCAGAAAAATGTTCTGACTGGACAAACCGGGAGTAGTCATTGTCAAACTGTGCTTCTATGCTCCCACGTACATGTTTCTGCCTTAATCAAACCCACTCTGACCAACGCGGTGAAGTATGGTCAATGACTCACCACCCGCACGGCGTAGGGAGGCACTAATGCTGTCGTGGATTGACAAAGAAGGCTCTACGTGCACAAGAACATTTAAATTCATGGAAATAATAAAAGTTACATTGATGGTGATAGTAACAATATTGTCATAGGTAATGATGTATGTTGAACTTCTTTCACACCGTGCATAACCAACCGCGCTAATCAGAGGTGCGGGGGAAGGACAATATATTACACTATGAGACATCTCCTTTACCAGTGGCAAAATATAGTAGTAGGTTTTTACCCTTTAAACTGGTACTAAACTGACACCTTTATACAAGGCATCATGTTTGCAATAACCACAACAAAAGGCAAAAAAGTACGCCTTTTGGTGTCATCTGGTCCAATACCAATGGAGACTAGGCTCTAAAGAAAGCTGTCTCGGGTGTGGACCAATCAACTTCAAGGACAGTGCATATCATTATCATCATCATCAGAGTTGTTTCTTTTTTGTTTTGCATTTTGACTACTTGTGTTGTGGTTATTGCAAACATGATGCCTTGTATAAAGGTGTCAGTTTTGTACCAGTTTAAAGGGTAAAAACTTACTACTGGACAACATATTAAACACAAAAAAACTGTCCTAAAGAAATTAGTTTTCAGTATAAATTTCAAAGCGCATAGCTCCAGTGGCTTCTTAATATCGGGAGAGCGTTCCAGACGGCCGCAGAAGCGCAATTGAAAGCACGCGATGTGGTGACCATCTTTGTTCGACGGTTAGCCAAAAGCCGCTGCGAGGATAACCGAAGTTTTGCATGATGGTTAACGTTTCCTGACGAGATCGGCAAGGTATTTGGTTTCATTTATGGCAGGAACTTTGTGTGTAATGAGTGCGACATTATGATGCCGATGATGCCGATGATGCCGATGACGCCGCTGATAAGACTGACAAAGATGATAAATTTCGATTTAAAGCTTTCGTGACTGCAGGGATTCATCTTCTTGGTTCTTTCGGTCAAGTCACGTAGAAGGGAAGTAATAAAATAATAAAAATACAACATAATAAAATAATTCTCACGACGTTTCGGCCACAACGCAAGCAGCCGTCCTCAGGTGAAGACCAGGTCTGTCGGGGAGACAGCGTCTGTCGGGGAGACAGCGTCGGCTGAGGACGGCTGCTTGCGTTGTGGCCGAAACGTTGTGAGAATTATTTTGTTATGTTTTATTTTTATTATTTTATTACTTCCCTTCTACGTGACTTTACCGAAAGAACCAAGAAGAGGAAAGATGATAAAGATGATGATGCTGCTGCGAATGGTGATAACAGATCATGATGATGATGATGGTTCTGACAATGTAATTTCAGGTGAAACCACGTGACCACAAGCTCACAGACTACCACCGCTGGTTGTGGGAAAACCACAAGAGTCTGGGACTTGACTGATGGACTCACTCGCCCTCGTCACGGGAACAAGGAATTTCCACCACTGGCTCAGCTTTTGTAAAACGGGAGATGCTGTGCTGCAGGCATTTAAAGATGTATTAATGAATCCATTAAAAGCAGTTATTCCTCTTGCATCGAATTGTGTGCTAAAAAAATGTTTAAAAAATATGTTTTAGCAGGTAAGTCTGACTGAGCTATGTAGCTATTTTTCAGAAGCGACCTGGCCACAAATGATAGCTAAACGAGAAGTGGCTTATCGTGTGGAAATGTATAGCTGCCAAATAATCTAAATAATGCTTAAAAGTCGAGTCTGTCTCTACTGCTCACAACCAATGGTGCAACTGTTCCTAACCGGTTGCAGATACGTCCATGAATATACAAGCGATTCAGTTGCACGCAATCAAGTTGCACGCAACTAATCGCCCAGGTGTGGACCGACTTTACTTTCCTGCCATCTAGTTCTGGAATATTTTACTGAGGCTATAATACTGTACACCATGGCTTGTTGCACTTTTAAAACATTTGTATACCCTTTCGATTTAAAGCTTTCGTGACTGCAGGGATTCATCTTCTTGGTTCTTTCGATAAAGTCACGTAGAAGACAGTGTCTCCCCGACAGACCTGGTCTTCACCTGAGGACGGCTGCTTGCGTTGTGGCCGAAACGTCGTGAGAATTATTTTATTATGTTTTATTTTTATTATTTTATTACTTCCCTTCTACGTGACTTTACCGAAAGAACCAAGAAGATTTGTATACCCTCCTTACCTGGATATATTTTGATGTCGTGCGAATGCGGAATTCGAAATGATCGGAAACATGATACTGTACTGTGATGTTTGATCTCGAAGTTAAACTCGTACTCTGTCATGTTTAAAAAAAAAAGTATGAAAATTGTACACTTTTGTAGGATTTCGCGACCAATATAATCCATAATGTAGGTTTTTTTGGGTTAGATCATGTAAATATAAATTGGTCGTTAAACCCGCCACCACCCGACACAACCAATTCGTAACGTTTGTCACGTAAACAGAACATGCCAATTCGTTACTAGTGTAACGACTCGCTGACAAGTTATATGAAGAGCCACTTTCATTTGAGGACCCCCACAATACGGGGCCCGAGGCTTCGTGCTTGTCTTCCAGCTTGTATCTCCACTCCTCGTGCTCTCACCTTATATATACCTCTGCTACTTGTATGGAATGTACCCTCAATGTATTTCCCTTAGCCCAGGGGTCGGCAACCTATGGCTCCGGAGCCGCATGCGGCTCTTTACGGGCTGCTTTTTGACGATATGTACGTATGTACAGTATGCATTGCGGCTCTTGAAATACTGAATTTTGTACCGAATTGGAAAGAAATGGCTCTTCTTGTTATTTTGGTTGCCGACCCCTGCCTTAGCCAATCGCTGTCCTTTCCCTTGAACGGATCCTATCCGTCGCCTCTGGGTGACACTTTGTTTCCCGTCTATTCTCATTCAAAACTTTTCCTCCAATCACTTCAAAGGCCTTCCTCCTGACCAATCCCTGTGGAGGCCTCTTTCCTCCAATCAGAGACCTTGGTTTATCTTTGAATAGCCGTAAGGCTGGACATTGGCTCAAGGTCATTGTCGGTCATTACACTAGTACAGCACTCTCGGGCGAGTTGGTATGCTATAGAGTGGTACCTCGGTATACGTCGTTAATTCGTTCCAGAAGGTAGGAGGACTTATACCGAAAATGACGTAGACCAAACGAACTTTTCCCATAAGAAATAAAGGGAAAGGAAATAATCCGTTCCAGAGTATAAGACATTATATTTTATATGGCATATTATACATTAATGTGGTTGTATAAAATAGTTTAGACACTACTTATTACTAAAATTCATGCATAAATTAAAATGAATGCATAAATCTATTAAAATAAATTAAAATAAAAATTACATTTAACATCACTTTACCTTGCTGAGAGGAGTTGATAGCCTACGAGGATGGTGGTGAGGTAGGGGAGGAGACGTGAATGGGGTCTACGCGGGTACGCGGTGACTCATCCCGACCCATACAAGTTCTAGCAAGCACGTTGTATGCCAAGCAAGGCGTCGTATCCCAAGACTTTTTTCTCGTCAAAACACGACGTGTACCAAATTCGACGTATTTCAAAGCTGTCATATACCGAGGTATGACTGTACTAGTATATTTCGATTTAAAGCTTTCGTGACTGCAGGGATTCATCTTCTTGGTTCTTTCGGTAAAGTCACGTAGAAGGGAAGTAATAAAATAATAAAAAAAATTTACATAGTAAGATACAATTCTCACGACGTTTCGGCCACAACGCAAGCAGCCGTCCTCAGGTGAAGAACAGATCTGTCGGCCTGTCATTCGGACGCTGTCTTTCCGACAGACCTGTTCTTCACCTGAGGACGGCTGCTTGCGTTGTGGCCGAAACGTCGTGAGAATTGTATTTTATTATGTTGAATTTTTATTCTTTTATTATTTCCCTCCTACGTGACTTTACCGAAAGAACCAAGAAGATGTACTAGTATAATCATCAGGCAGCAGTCAGATTTGTGGAGAAATCCTCCTGTTTTGTTCCTTATAGGGGTAGATTGTGAAGGCATCACTTGTGTTCTGGGCAAAAAAATATAAGTTGAAGTTTGGCACGAATTCCGAACATCAACGGTTAAATTCCATGATTGTGCTTATTTTGGTGAGGTGGATGGTGTGTGTTTACAATATCTCAGAGACTTTATTAAAAACGAGTTTTGAATATATGTTTGAGTATTCATTCTTATGATTGGAGTCTAATCTTATCGGTAGACAGAAGCGGTGGTGGGGGGGGGGGTAGATTCAGACTAGTTGCCCAATGTGTAAATCAAACATTCTTCAATTTACATGTGCTATGAGAAAGGGTCATTGCCTGAAACGTTGACTATTGTATTTATTTCTCCTTTTAAGGCCACGCACGCACAGTGTTGCTCCGGGCGAATGTGTTGAGTTGGTTTTATAGTTTGGACACTACTAGACATCTGTGAAAAAATTAACTCGTAAAAACAAAGTTTTTCACTATAAATCCTTTATATGCGTGGCGGCTAGAGTCCTCTCGTCCTCTGGCTTGAGATGGCTGCCACCTATGGGTCAGATGATTGTCTGCAGTATTAAACAATCGGTAATTAAATATTTAATTTGTTTTCCCTAAACAGTGTAAAATTTTGGAATTTTTTTTTCACGAACATTAATTGTCTCGCACAACGAGTCTGTGTGCAAAATGTCAGCTCGATTGGATCACGGGAAGTGGGTTAAAAAACGACCGAAAGGTTTGCACGGTCGTAAGCAAGCAAGCACGCAAGCACGCAAGCAAGCAAGCAAGCAAACTTAATATAAAGGATTTAAAAAGTGCTTTGGGGCCGTCCATAAATGACGTCACGCACCTATGGGGGGGGGGGTCAGACGTATGTGACGATGTGTGACGAGGGGGGGGGTTGAGAAATGTGACGTCACATCAAAATACGCAACTTTAAATAAATATAGTCAACACGTTCCACTTAATTAAATAGACTTTTTAATAAATGTCTTCTTCTACAACATCAGAGTGCAGCGCCACACTAAATACGCACTACAATTACAATAGTTTAAAGCAATTTGAAGCATGTTTTTTTTGGGGGGGGGGGGGGCAGAGCTTTGTGACGTCATATTTGAGGGGGGTCTGACTTTTTGTGACGCCGTGTGACGAAGGGGTGGGGGGTCAAAAATCGTCCAAATTCGCGTGACATCAATGGACGGCCCCTTTATAGCTCTTGACTTGAAACTCTTCGGTTCTTTATTGTTCTGCCTACGTGACTTTGCCGAAACACCCATAGAATATGAATAATTATAAAAGTGAATAAAAATATCACGACGTTTCAATCGCAACACAAGCGGATGTCATCAGGAAAACGGGTTATCCTCTAAAGGCAAACTGTTCATGAAGGTTTGGAGGTTGATTGACAAGAAAACACAAGTCAAGTCATGACCCAAAGTGGTTGATGACATCTTTCCAATGATTGCTGAGTTTATAACCTTCCTCTCGGTTGAAATTGTGTCTATATATGGATAGCTTTATGAACGAATCTTTGTTGATAGCCAGCAGGCTTGCAAAGTACCATCGTCTTAGACATGTCTCGGACCGTGTTCTTGAAGATAAGATTTGAAATACGGTAGGACCAATACTTCTGCTGTGGCTGATCATTATTTTTAAATCCTTTATATTAAGTTCGCTTGCTTGCTTGCGTGCTTGCGTGCTTGCTTGCTTGCTTAGGACCGTGAAAATCTTTCGGTCGTTTTTTAACCCACTTCCCGTGATCCAATCGAGCTGACATTTTCCACACAGACTCGTTGTGCCAGACAATTATTGTTCGTGAAAAAAAATTTGCAAGATTTTACACTTTTTAGGCAAAAAAAAATTATTTTACATATATTCAAATAGAACGCATTCATGGCTTTGGCTGAACGTCAGAGTGTAAGAGCCCAGAGCGTAACCCCTCCACAGGCCGTGGCGGAGTAGCGCAGTTGGTAGCGCCCTCGCTTCCCATACCAAAGGTCGCGGGATCGATCCCCGCGTCCTCCACAGGCGAATATATTTTTAAATCCTTTATATTAAGTTCGCTTGCTTGCTTAGGACCGTGCAAATCTTTCGCTCGTTTTTTAACCCACTTCCCGTGATCCAATCGAGCTGACATTTTCCACACAGACTCGTTGTGTGTGACAATTAATTTTCGTGAATTTTTTTTCCAAAATTTGACACTGTTTAGGGAAAACAAATTAAATATTTAATTACCAATTGCTTAATACTGGCAGACAATCATCTGACCCATAGATTGCAGCCATCTCAAGCCAGAGGACGAGAGAACTCTAGCCGCCACGCATATAAAGGATTTAGAGTGAAAAACTTTGTTTTTACGGGTTTACTTGTAATGCGGCTGGCTCACACGAAATAGATGTCTCTACGTGACTTTACCGAAAGAACCAAAGAGTAGAGCTTTATAGCTCATCGGATTCATCTCCATATATATAAAAGACAAAGTTGTGATTATGTGTGTCTGTTCAAAATGTTTAGCGTACTTCCCAACATGCAACAAACTTGAAATTTTCCATGTGAGTACTTTCCAGAATGTACACCATGCAAAAATAATAAAAATACACTTTTTTTTGGGGGGGGGGGGGGGAGCTCAATAATGCAGAGATTTTTTGCACGGCAAGTGAGCTGTGACATCACCTCTGTCATGTCACCCGCGCGTGCGGAAGCGTAACGCAGTGTGCCTACTGATGTCACCCCCCCTCCAACCCTCCGCGAGTAAAGTGCCATACAAATGTGTTGCAGGTCTAAAGCATTGTCTGCGCAGCATTTCTTTATTATTTCAGTCGTTTACTGCCGTACGCACCCTGGAAGTCGTGTGTGTCTGCAGCAAGCGCGTGTATGTGTACCTATGGACGCGCGCGTGTTTGTGTGTGGGGGGAGCGGTAGTGTAGTGGTTAGCGCGCTGCGCTACGAACCCGGCGACCCGAGTTCGATTCCCACTCACGGCCACCACCGGTGACGATTATTTGAACCGGTCCTGGGCCTCCCCTAGGTCGACTCAGCCTCAAACGAGTAACTGCTGTGGTGTGTGAACATCGCCACTGGGGAGACAAAGGTGGTCGGGCGTGGTGAATCCAAGTCCCGGGCAAAGCCAGGTAGTAAAGCTAGTCCGGCATAAATAAAGATTATAATTCTGTTTGTACACCATCACCAAATACACCACTGGGACAGCTGCCCCTCAATTATCGATGCAGTAATCCCCTTTTGATGTTTACATTTGTCACATTGTTGGATAAAAGTAATAATTGTGTAATTAGCGGCTCCGACACGGTAAGTAACTTCAAGTATTTATTAGTAAATCTTCGGTACAGCCACTCTCTCCGCGGATGTCGACCCGCTCTCGTGGCGCTCACCCCGCTCGCTAACACACCGCTGGCTAACACACCGCTCGCTGGCGGCTGAGCAGCTGGAGGTCGAACCGCCACGTTGCAGGTGGAGATGGCGGGGCAGCAGCAGCAATCTTCACACACTGACCCCTAACCAGAGGTAGCAATCGGGTACCCGATACCCGTACCCTACCCGATACCCGGTGGGTACGGGTACCCGTTTGCGACCCTTTTGCGACCCTGGTGTGGCCGGGTACGGGTAGGCCGTGAGTCACTGGTGAGTAACCGTTTGTCACTCATTTCCCAACGTCTTGTCTCTTCTCACAATTCAAGTTCCTAGAATCAACCCACCCGTGTCTGCAACATGGCTTCATCCCAGAGGTCGCAATCGGGTACCCGTACCCTACCCGATACCCGGCCGGGTACGGGTAGCCGGGTATCGGGTAGGGTACGGGTACCCGTTTGCGACCCTGGTGCGGCCAGGTAAGGGTACGGAATCAAAAACCCGTTTGCGACCTCTGCCCCTAACGTTGCTTATATTCACTCCCCGGAGGCTAAGCCCCGCCTCTAGCCCCGCCTCTGGCCACGCCCCTCCTAGAACCTTCGGGAACGTTCCAGAGGCTTCCCTGGTAGATCCGCCCATTCACCTTTACCCCGGATATAGAATCCCTACTATTGATCAAACGTGGACTGTATGATGTGTAATGTAACCCCCACACTAATGCAGGAGATGACGCTCTCTTATTACAATTGTAGTCACCGTAATATCTTGGAGTAATCTACACATTGCTGATACGTCAGGATGAGTCTTAGATAGCAGAAAAATATTACATTCTGGCGATTTTTATTTAAAGGATAAAAGCCACGCAACAGAAAACCTATTAACGATGTACTAGATGGTTGAAAAATTTAAGGGGTGCCATAAATGTTGTGGGTTTTACTCTCCAACACACCGGTGTGCTGAAGTAGTCACGAATTGGCACGTTCTGTTCACGTGAAAAACCCCGACTTGGCCGTGTTGGGTGGTGGTGGGTTTCACGACACATTTATGTTTACGGGACCTAACCCAAAATAAACCTCCTTTATTACGGATAATACATACCTGTCAACCCCCTTATCAGCCGCCCTACCTTATTACAGACAAATTCAGACCTTATTGGTCAACCCCGTTCCCTTATACATCTCAAAGTTCATCCTACAAAGTCCCATCATCATCATCACAAGGGAGAAACACAAACAAATAGACACAAAAAACAACAAAATGTGCCCATATTGAAACGGCTGTACACCGTATAGACCTGCAAACTCAATTTTCCTGCAACAACAATGCGGGGAAAACCATATGGGTTTACAGGTATGATAATATTAGTGGCGAAAGCCTACTTACTACTTGTTCAATTTCAAGGGGTGTCAGTGCCGGATTAAGCTAGTGCAGTGCCTGTAGCATATAATATAAAGGGGCCCTAAATAAAAAAAAAACGTCAATATTAAAACACGTAAATTTTTACTTGCATTGTAAAGTAATTGTCTTTTTTTATTTTCTATACATCCAGATAATACGATAAATCGCTAACTTTCAACACCCAGTCGTTCATAAAAGTTTAAGGCAGCATAGTACTATAGTAATAGAACAAGTGCAGAATCACTGAACCGAAATTGATAGCTTGAAAGCATTTAGCGCACGGCCCTTGAAAGTGGGAGGCCCGTAGCATATGCAGCTACTTTTGCTACGAGGATAATCCGGCTCTAAAGGTTGGTATATATTATAGATTTGAAGTTTTCGTGAATGCAATAATCATACTTTTTGGTTTTATTTCGGTAAAGTCACGTCGGTAAAAAATAAAATAAAAATGAAAAAATGTAGTTGTTTTTCCTTTTTATTAAATTTTTTACTTACGTGCCTTTACCGAATAAAACCAAAGAGTAAGGTTGGTATATATATTGGTTGCTTAATTTTCTTTTTACATTTTGTTTTAAGCACCGTATGTATAGGAGGTAAATAATTTATTAAATCAAGGGCCCTATATCCCACAATCCCCCGCGCTCGCCCCTTCCTTCCTCCATATTGGGACCGGCTGAGGTGAGTACAGACATACGTGCGCTCCGTAATCCGCGACAATCCACGAAGTGGCGACGAACAAACTTATCCTTAAATAGTTTATCTTGTTGGCGGGACTCTTAGGCGCGCGTCGATGTAAATATGTTCGCCGATTATTTTGGGGAAGTTGTGTGTTTTTGTTCGGTTAGCGATTGCCTGCGCGCGCCGCAGGCTCGCGCAGTGCGTTTGCGGCATAGGCCGCAAGCGTGAACTGAAAGGGGACCCCGGTGATGTTTGTAGTTGTAAACATTTAACATTAATTGTGAGATTAAAACAAAATGTTTGCATTTCTAAAATTGGTTATCGTCGTGCAAACCCAGCTTTTGTCAATGAACTCGCAATGCGTACAATATACTGTACACGCGTGTGAGGGGTTCCGTTAACGATGATCATCGCGGCTGCCAATCTGACACCCTTACGAGCCTAAAAACATTCAAGATGCCCCCAATTATTACTATTTAATAAAACTCGCAGTATTCAAAAGGAGGTTAATAGGCGAATGGTTATGGTTCGTGTACTTGCTATACAGCAGTGGACACACATCTGTGTACGCTCGAAACACGTGTCCGCTTTATCGTGGCCTTCCCGGCCTACGTAGTCGGATGTTAATAGTTATACTTTGACATTGTCAGCGCTCGTATAATATTGTAGACATCGTGTATGTCAATTGTCTTTTCGTCCGCTGCTGCATTGAAAGCTGCTTTCTCCTACGCCGTATATGTTATAGGGGTTGCTTGACCATACTTAACCACGCTGGTCACTGTAGGTTGTTGAAAGCCTGGCTCTGGTTATGTCACTCGCCACTGATGTTAGCCGTCGCCGGGTGTCGAATGCAGTTCGAGTTCGTATAAGCACATAAAGGACAGCCTTAGTTATAATTACCTAACAAGTCACTGAACGTTTCCGTTAAAAACACGAACTTGTCCCGTTTGTGTTTTGAACGCTTCAGTTCCCTTAGCCCATGTGGTAACATTTGCATCCTACGATGTGAAGTTTCTGTTTGAATCGTAAAATAATCGGGTTGCTTAAAAAGCAGTGGGATGATGTATCCGCTGACGATTATAAACTCTCCTCGCACTTTCGCGAGCCACCATGTAGTGAGAAATCTGGTGTTTTTGTGAAAGAATTCGTATACTTATCGGTATACTTGCCTTGAAATAAAATTTGTATAAGTCGGCAACGTTTAGGGCAATAATTCATCTCAGGTGTGGGAGCCACGCTTTTCGTCGATTCAATGCGTGTATCGCGAGCGTAAAAGCACATGTTTGAATTGACGATTCAGTCGTTAGATCTCGGCCAGGTAGACCCATGGCTGCTATAAAGCTTTTGGTGTTTAGCGGTGCTGGCACGAGGCACCGTCTTCTGCAATAGAGATGCGTGTGCCGGTGTAGTGAAGTATGGTCCAAACCACCCTCCCACGGCCAGCGCTGCCTGGATTGACTACCCCTGTAATTTTGTAAGAATCGATGTTTGCTGAATCGTTGAGATGCTTTACGAGCTACGCGCCTCTTAATGCGGTTGTTTTTAGGTTTCATCTTTGATCTTCTTGGTTCTTTCGGTAAAGTCACGAAAACTTTAAATCGAAATTTCATTTTTGAATTGCAAAACCGTGCTGCGATGCTGCTCGAGGCGTGCATTGGTCGGTCTTTTTGTAGAAAGTGTTTTACTAAAGATATTAAAATCGGCTTGTTAAATACTTAAAATAGTCTCAGTTGTGCCATAAGTGCATCTGTTTAGCATGAGAGTTTAAACGTGTCCACTATTCTGGATAGACATTGAATAGTTGGTTCTTCACTTGGAATCACAAAAATCCCTTGTTAGGACTTTGGAACAAGGCGGCGTGCTTATTATGAGCAGTTCATTATATAACGCTTTGTCAGTAGTACAACTTTCAGGTAGTGAGACTGGCGAATCGCAAAGATGAGAATCTTGTTCTGCGAAGCTCCCGAAAGTTTCTGGGTCGCGATGTGGCAAGATTAAAGGACGGGCGGCCTCATGGCTTCTTGAATCGTTCTTGTCGAGCTACGAAATGCCCCGTTTAGGCGTTACAGGGCTGGCGTCTCGGTGCTTTCCCTGTGTCACACGTGGGCATAGAGAATCAGGCTCCTAGTTTACACTCGGCCGCCACCTACATGGTCGCCCTGAATGATTGTGGAGCCAACATCGCCGCCCTTACACGAACATGGCTGGCTTAACACCAACTAGGTCGTCCTGGCATGAACAGAGGCTGTGGGGGGGGGGTAGGGAGGAACACCTTGAACCGATTCAGGTATTTCCACTGATTTTGTACGTGGCCCGTGAGCTCTAGCTTGCGCGAGTGTGTTGAGGAGCGTGTCACGGTGCTGACGGAACGTGCGGTGTGTGTGCGGTGTGTGTGTGTGTGTGCGGTGTGTGTGTGTGTGTGCGCGTGCGGTGTGTGTGTGTGTGCGGTGTGTGTGTGCGGTGTGTGTGTGCGGTGTGTGTGTGCGGTGTGTGTGTGCGGGCACAGGCGGCACCATGGTGGCGCTACGTCCCCTCGTGAAGCCCAAGATCGTGAAGAAGCGCACAAAGAAGTTCAAGCGCCACCAGTCGGACCGCTACATCAAGATCAAGGTGAGGGGGGGGGGACTACTTTGAATAGAATGAAAAAAAAATTCCTGTTCGTATTTTGTATCTCCAAAATGCTGTACAGAAACGCTGGGATATGGGTATCTGACAGGAGGCATATTCATTTTATAAACAAACAGCTAGCTAGAGGAAAATCGTAAGATCTTGAGCCTGGACTTTTAAAGTGTCGGGAGCCGACTGCATGGGTGGCTGTGGTTGAAAGAGTTGCAGATGAAAGAGCCACCTCCAGCTGAGCGGTTGAACTGGGGGTTTCAAACGAGAAGGCCTTGCTTGCTTGCTGGAGCAGAGTGCATGAAAATATGAATAGTGTAATGAGAGGAGATGTTGGAAAGCATGGAGGAAAGTAATGTGTAGTGAAAGGGGAGGAGAGTGCATGGAGACCTGTTAGAAATTGATGAGATTGGAGAGAGGGTAGGTAGTGGTGACTGAAGGATCTTGAAGATAGTGAGTGCACTCCTGAAGTTTATCCACGAATGGATTTGGAGCCATGCAAGTACAGTGGTAATAAAAATATAAAAGAAATTAACAATAGACAATATAATTATCTTTGTAATCTACCGACCAGCTCAGTGGTCGAGCGAGCAGCATGGAATTGTAAGATTGCAAATTCTAATCCTGGTTAGGGGTTGTTTGGTAAAATAACTAGCACTTTGTGGCGAAATCAACAGCGGTTGTCCCATGATAATCTTGTGCCTGCCATTAATTCCACCACTGACTCACGGCTGTAAACAAAAGATGAGCAACCACCTCGGTGCTCCATTTGAACAAGAAATCGCTTTGGCCTTTTTTAACAAGAGTTTATAATCCAGACCTGTTAAAAAAATCAAGGAAGATCGTGGTTAACACACATGGCCAGCTCGCCCTCTAACACGTTAGTCATCTCCCTCCCCTGCCCCCCATTCTCGCCCCCCCCCTCTGTGACCCGGCAGCCGAACTGGCGCAAGCCGAGGGGTATTGACAACCGCGTGAGGCGGCGCTTCAAGGGGCAGCTGCGCATGCCCAACATCGGTTACGGGAGCAACAAGAAGACCAAGTACATGCTGCCCACTGGCTTCCGCAAGTTCCTCGTGCACAACGTGCGAGAGCTGGAGGTGCTCATGATGAGCAACAAGTGAGTGTGTGATGGCATCCGCGCCCCCGTGCTTGTCTCTTGCATGTCTGCAGCAGTAGGGGATCGTTTTAACACGTAGGCTTTCGTGACCAATATAAAAAATACATTTCATACAGGTAGGAACAACAGTTCCACACTGCCCACCACGGATTATTTGTCTGTCGTGCATAGCCCCTCCCAAACATGTAGCACGCTCCCGGATTGGTTGAAGTGCGTCACGTGACCGCGAGCTTTCTGTCGTGCGCGAATGCGCTGTCCAACCAAGTTCCTACCTGCCCACTCCGAAGGAACGTGTTTCAGGATTAGGGGATGTCTGTGGTTGATTGCCCCCAACCCCCCCCCCCCCCCCGGCCTAATAGAATTGCGATTAAGGTGGTTCCTAGAGAATATTTTCGTAAAATATTTTGTCTTCTACTATGTGTTGGGAGAACGGTCCGGAAGCGAATATCAGAGCTGCCTCTTGAGATCCCGAGTAGGGGGACAATTTGTTTTTTAATTGATTATCGTTTCCAAAAGTCGTGCAAATCGGGGCCCAAGTAAGCGACCGCAAAAAAGTTGATTACAATTATCAGCTCATGAATGGACGAATGGGCCAGTTTAACCACAAATCTACGAGACAGTTTTAAGACGTAGGCTTTCGCGACCAATATCCATAGTAAAGGTTTTTTTTAGTTAAGATTGTGTAAATATAACCCACCATCACCCGACAGCCAATGAGTTAGGTTTGTCACGTCGTAAAAGCATGCGAATTAGTTACTACTTCAGCACACTCTGGTGTGTTGGAGAGTAAACCCAAAACATCCAAATAGCCAACTGACGACCTCCTAAAGAACCGCATCTATGGAGCTGCTATGCCCCATGGACTGGAAGCCAGACGGCGTTTGAATCTGGCCTGGCGTTTGAATCTGGCCTGGCCTTTGTCTCGGTGCCTCCCACTGCCACTCTGCACTCGGGATGCTGCCAAGTTGAGCAACGGTGGTGAGATGTTAACTCCCTCGCCTAGATTTTCAGAAAGTCGTGGGGCTTGATTCCGACCCTGGCGCCTATATGTTTGGAGTTTGCGTGCGTCTCTCCCTGTGGTCTTGTGGATTTTTTTCCGGATCCTTTGGTTTTGCCTTCCACATTGAGAAGTGTGTTTTATAATATTTAGCTGATTTACACATTAGCCACTTCAGTGGGTTGTCATTTGTGGCCAGGTCGTTTATGAAAACGAGCTATATAGCTCAGTGGGACTTCCCTGGTAAAATATATATTTTTTACCTTTTTTAAGCACACATTTCGATGGAAGAGTAAGAAACGCCTTTAATGGATTCATTAATACATCTTTAAATGCCTGCAGCACAGTATGTCCTGTTTTACAATAGTAGTAGGACTTACCTGGTAAATTTAACAAAAAGCTCTTAATTTAGGGTTGGTGGGAAACCCACCCTCTCGTGAACACCTTGGAGCGGTGGTTGTCAACCCGTGTGGCTTGCCTTTCGGGGGTGGGGGGGCACAGGCTGTGGCATATAATGAATATCATGCAGGAGAAATGGCTTGTGTGCAAGAAAACGTTGTTGGTTCTTCACTGGTGACAAAACATGAATACACAATAACATGCCGGTATAGATTTAATACGTGCCATGAAGGCCTAGGGGCCACCATACTAAAAAAGTTGTTGAGAAGCGCTGCTTCAAACACCCAAAACGTTATCTGGTGCGCTGGGCGAGACGTATATTGAAATTACTTAAAGTCATAATTGTCATTTATCCTACAAAGTTTTATGAGTCTTGATACTTTCATGAGGGGGGGCGGGGTCAACACAATGGTATGTTGGGTCGGTTTCATTTTCGAGTTGCGTTTTGTGCGGTTTAACGGAACCTTCCGGTAAACGTCTTCGTGCCTCGTACCAACGCACGCACCGCTTCTCTAACCGGTCCTCGTGTCCTGCCCTCCCCCAAGGACGTTCTGTGCCGAGATCGCGCACAACGTTTCGTCAAAGAAGCGCAAGACCATCGTGGAGCGCGCTGCGCAGCTCGCCATCAAGGTGACCAACGCCAACGCTCGCCTGCGCAGCGAGGAGAACGAGTGAGCGGCGAGCGCCCGCCGTCCCCCTCCTCCTGATCCTGCTCTTCACCACCACCGCCGCCGCACGGCCACTTACCACACCACAGAGCCGTTTGCGCTGTACAGACTTGTTGTTTGCGCCACTTTGTAAACGGAATAAAAATGTGGAAAAAGAAACTTGTACGTCCTGTTTTTGGTGGAGGTTGTGTGATGCTTTCATGGGGAGCATTTGGTTCGCGCACTGCTTCAAACCTGGGTTTAATATCCGCTTTAGGTGGATATCTGAGCTTGTCCAGGGCCCTCCCCTAGGTCGACTCGGCCTTGTGCAAGTAGCTGGTGTGGCGTGTAAGAATAAACGTGGGAGAAAAAGGTGGCTGCGTGTGGTGCTGGCAACACCACACTGGCGTGGCGCGTTGGCCTTCAGAGGTGCGCTAACATGACTTGCCCCACCACCAGTCTGGCTGTATGGCAGTTATGGGCAACCTAGAGGAGTGGGCAACATGAGCGGCCCTCCACCTCGGTGGGCCGCAAGCTTGAAAGCGTGCTTGTGTGCAAATCGCGACCCCACGCATAACCCTAAATGAGTGTTCACTAATTTTCTGAGGGGGGCCCCATTGTCGAGAAGACATCTGTACGTGAGGCCCGCCACGCAGCCGCCTGCTAGGGGTGTTATCACGTGTATTGTTGGGGGCTGCACTAAAGGCCACCAGGGGCCGCTAGTTGCCCGTGGTGGCCTGCCAACGAAGAACACTCCCCTAAATACACTTACAACAGGGCCACCACGAGGGGCTCTGTCGGCTGTATGCAACCCGCGGGTTACCCACCACTACTAAACGGGGCACCTTGCGCTTGGGTCTGTTCTGTTCCGCCGGCGTCGCCTCCACAGCCTGGCACAAGCGCTGTGGTGACGCTACTTGATGTCAATTAGCAGCTGCAATTGCAAAGTATCGAATCGGTGCTCGCGAACGTCATTTTCTCCAACCGCCTTTGTCGGTTATAAGAGGAACCTTGGCACCTGCCCGCCACTTCAGTCGGTTAACCCAAAACGCGTGGAGTCTTGCATGATCTGCCTTGGAGCGTTTGCAACTCGTGTCTTCAAAGTGCACCTCGACTGGTGATCTTAACTAATTTTCAGAGGTGAGGTGGGGGGAGCTTGCCGATAATACAAGTTCAAGTTCATGTATTAGGTATAGCCCTGTGAGCCATTCGGCTCTTGAATTGGGTGCAACCGCAACAAACAAAAACGTGAACAAGAAAACATCTTAAAGTGACTGTGCAAAAAGAAAATCTAAGAAAAGACAGCAAAATATTGCAGAAAATGCACCGTACACCAACAGCAAAACTCCCAGTGAGATGCAACTCAAACAACAACAACCACAAGACAACTTAGATTAAGGCCATCAGTCTAACTCTGTACTACAACAAACAAACATGGCCAAAATAAAGCTATAAAAGCAATGAAACAGTGGTCATAGGAATGCATCGGCAGTGTGAGGGCTACCACATTTTAAACCATTGGTGTTTGACATCACGGTGATGATAATGGGGGGGGGGGTGTTTTCACATTTGTTGTATTGTCGGGGTCCACGCTAAAAGCCACCAGGGGTCTTTCCAAATGAAGAACACTGACCTAGCTTGTTAGTGTGGTGCTCGGGTGTGGGACATGGGTTGTGAAGCGCTCTGTGAACAGCAGAGGGCAGTGCCGCAAAATCCATGGTTTTACCGAGTCGATGGCTCCCCGCCCTCGATCTGCACACCGGCTGAGTGGAGTACCGTAAAGGAACTCCCTGCCGAAGCCCACTTTTAACGGTCAATGCGATGTCCCCCTAACGCTTGTATATTTGAATATCCACGTGTTCATGTAAATTCCATGCGGGCTGCTTTTTTTTATCCTGCTTTGCACACTTCAGCTCTTGTTCCACTTTGTCGAGAGGCGTACCTGCTGTTGACATGCGTGCATCAATTGCTGAGGCCTCGCTCCTCAAGTTACATCGTTGATACAGATCCACTTGCAACTTGAAAGCCAACATAAAACGGACCACAAGTCCTATTTATTTTCGTTGGCAAACTCAGTTTTGTGACGTGGCCTTGGCTGACCCGGGTCTGTAAAGACGTAATTCTATTTTTAAAGCCACGTTATGGCCATGCATAAAAGACGCAATTTCCACAAGGGTTCGTGGGTTCATCAAGGTCACACGGGTGGGACGAACAGGGTCGTTGCTAAAGGCACATTTTGTATTTCTCGTCAATTTCTCGAGCGCTTCTGGACTGGCGCTGGGAGTCGGGAGTAGCAGTGTAAGGCACTGCCACTACAATACAAGGCACGCCTTTCCACAGTAACCCGTGGCCGCCCTGATTAATGCTGCGGGTGCATTGACCATAGAAAAATATTCGCCGTCCGGTTTTCGGTCGATGTTTTAAGATCCCATTTCATGGCATTCACAACGATAGGCCAATGCGTTCCAACGTCATTGGTCCAAGTTTGAAATACTGGAAGGTCTCCGAGTACACGGACCCGCTCATGCGAACGACCCCGATTCATAATTTCTACACTTTGCGACTCGTACTTTAGTTACATGCAACGGGGGTGGGAAGCGAGGAGTGAAATCGTCCTCCTCTGCCATCACGCGAACGTGGATTTTACAGCGTTGTAACTGCATCGCCCGCGCAAGAAACGAGTCCAACCAGTTAAATTTCGATTTAAAGCTTTCGTGACTGCAGGGATTCATCTTCTTGGTTCTTTCGGTAAAGTCACGTAGAATGGAAATAATAAAATAATAAAAATAAAACATAATAAAATAATTCTCACGACGTTTCGGCCACAACGCAAGCAGCCGTCCTCAGGTGAAGAACAGGTCTGTCAGAAAGAAAGACAGCATTCAGACGCTGTCTTTCTGACAGTACTGTTCTTCACCTGAGGACGGCTGCTTGCGTTGTGGCCGAAACGTCGTGAGAATAATTAAAAAATGTTTTATTTTTATTATTTTATTATTTCCCTTCTACGTGACTTTACCGAAAGAAACAAGAAACCAGTCCAACCAGCTCGCATATTTTTCGGATTTATCGTAGACAGATGATTAGTGAATCGTTTACTGTACAGTACTACACTTTATTAAACATTAATAAACATTAATATACATTTTATATATATACCTGTCAACCCCTTATCAGTGCCTAGCTTATTACAGACCATTTCAGACTTTATTGGTCACCCCGTGCCCTTAGAAATCTCAACGTTCATTCTACAAAGTCCCATCACAAGGGAGAAACACAAACAGACATTTGTTTTTGCCCGTATTGAAACGGCTGTACGCAGTATGGACTATGAAAACTCAATTTCCCTGTACAAGAATACGGCTAAACCGTATGGGTTGACACGGTATATTTCTATAAATGCCTGCAGCACAGCTTACGCCGGGGGGTACACAGAACCTAACCTCCGCCGCGTACTCCGAGACCTGATTGTACTACTCGCAAAATTACTCAATTGGAGTCTGATGTGAGAACTTGGCGAGATCCTCCTGAAACACGAGAGCCATGAGAGTGAATGTGGCTTTCCTCGCGTAATAATCTTGATTTGAAGCTTTCGTGACTGCAGGAATCCTAACTCTCGTTCTTTCGGTAAAGTCAGCAGTTTTTTTTCTTGCTGTGGTTGTCCCACCTGATGACGATTGCTTGTGTTGCGATCGAAACGTCGTGATCTATTATTTTATTTCTACCTCCGTGACTTTACCGAAAGCGTAATAATACTTTAATAATGATTTCAACTCGCTACGCACAGTATTCACTCGGAAAGGACGACTCGAGCACAAGGAAGAACCGCAGAAGGCATCAGCCAGGCGGTGAGCGAGTGCCAACAATTTCCCAAGGTTTGCAGTCCTCTATATATTAAGATGCTTCCAGTCGTTTAATGGGCGTTCATAAAGTGGAGGCAACACACTATCCCATTCAGATTGGTCCAGATGGAGATTGTAGCATTTTACTGCACTGCCGTCTTATGGCAAGCTAAGGTATTATGGTCCTTCGACACCCACGGGATGGGGAAGTCACGGTGTGATCCAACGTCCCTCGCTGCTGTCTCCACAGTGCCAGATTACAGGCAGTCAACGGGCAGCGCGCAGTCACCACCGCCCGACCATCGTGATTCGCCTGATGGTCCTTCACCACCCATGCATGGGCGACGCGGTGGCTAGGAGATGTTAACTACCTCGCCTGGTATACAGGAGCGCGTGGGTTTGATCCCGACCCTGACGCTTGCTGCTGTATATTTGGAGTTTGCGTGTCTCATCATCACGGTGGCTAGGAGATGTTAACTACCTCGCCTGGTATACATAAGGTCATGGGTTCGATCCCGACCCTGATCAATGCCTGCTGTATTTTTTGAGTTTGCGTGCCTCTCATCATCACGGTGGCTAGGAGATGTTAACTACCTCGCCTGGTATACATAAGGTCATGGGTTCGATCCCGACCCTGATCAATGCCTGCTGTATATTTTGAGTTTGTGTGCCTCTCATCATCACGGTGGCTAGGAGATGTTAACTACCTCGCCTGATATACAGGAGGTCGTGGGTTCGATCCCGACCCTGATCAATGCCTGCTGTATATTTCGGAGTTTGCGTGTCTCTCTCCCCCTGTGGTTTGTGTGGAGTTTTCTCCGGGTCCTCCGGTTTTCCCCTCCACAGTTAGAAACATGCGTTTAGAGTTTTTGGCTGCCATAGATTTCCACTTGATAAGCCACTTCATTGGGATATCGTTTGTGACCAGGTCGTTTCTGTAAAAGATGTATACAGCTCGGAGGGCCTTACTTGGCAAAACTAAAAATAGCGTAGTTATTTTGTATCTGTCAAGAAAACTCTTGCTGTGCAGCAGAACCTGCTAGGCGCGTTATTTGGATCATTACTAACAGCGTCATCATTACGCACTGGATTTCAATGCGCGTGCGTATTTCACATTTTTGAAATTCGTGAAAAGAACGCCCGGTACTCGACTTACCTAGAGCCATAACCGTGACCTTTGCATGAAGGTTCCACCCCGCCGAAGCCGCTCGCTGATAGGTTTGCCGACACGCCGAGAGAGAGAGAATGAGAGAGAGAGACAAAGCTGCTATGCAACGGCCCTCATGGGTGGAGTTCATGATTCAACTTTGCGACCAAACCTGTTCTGGACGCAAATAAAGGCCACACGTGACGACAATTAACACGGGCGATGAAGGGAGGATTATGGATTGTTCGTGGTGCTGGTGGCGTGGTGGTCGCGTGATGGTCTGGTGGTTATGGTTTGTTGTGCTGTGTGGTGATGCTGTTGTGGTGGTCTGGTGGTGTGATGACGGTTATGTTTGTTGTGCCTTCACATAGGTGCTACTCGCTAACCTCACTTGCCCCAACAGTCTATTCACGATATACGGGGGGATCTGTGTTTGTTTAGTGTTCGTGTGCTCGTGTGTGTGTGGGGAGCAGTAGTGGTGTGTAGCGGTTAGCCAGCTGTGTTACGAAACTGGGTCAGGTGGTTATGTTGGTGGCTTTGTTGCAGTGATATGGTGGTTGGGCTGTGGTAGTGGTTGGTGGTTGCGTTGTGGTTGTGTGGTACTGGTGGCAGTGTTGGTGTCGGTAATGGCGTGAAATCCACGCGTGCCAGTTCTGATCGGCCTGCTGTATACCATGCGATCCTGTCGGCCAATCTGGCTGACGTTTCAACTCGCGACCCAACCTATCCTGTACGCGCCCGTGATGCATGCAAAATAGCCCACTCATGAATGACGACACGGCAATAATGATAATGGTAGGTAAGAGAAGTGTCAATGTTGTTGTGCTGTGTGGGTGAGTGGGTGGGGGGAAGTTGGAAATTCCTAGTGCGGCAGTCGTCCTACTGTGACCCCAAAAGTTCCTTTAGTTGGCACAGAACAAACATGAGAAAAAAAAACCTGCGGATCTATTATTATCCGGGGAGGTGTTGGTATTGTGCAATAATTTCTGGTCTTTGTCCACCCCCAATACCCACTTTAGACATGACGCAATTGTCCGAGGCGAGTTTACGCGTGGCGGTGTTGCAATCGTACGTCTCGACTACGGAGTGGAAGCTGGCGAGGGAAACGGAGGAAGACTGCGGGATGGACGGCCCCGCGATTATAACGATACATTATAACGGGAAATAACATGTTCCTTCAAAGCCTTTCTCCATGGCTCCCACCAACTTCTTTTGCACGAAGTAATGTAACGGGCTCCTCTGTAGGAGTTATCGCTTTCACAATCGTCAATAACCGAGTCAGAGGGTCGTTAGAAATCAGTGTGGTACCTATTACTATTAAACTATAACAATGTTTTTTGTTTTCTTCTTACCAGGTAAGGCCCACTGAGCTGTGTGGCTCTTTTTCAGAAGCGACCTGGCCAACGAGAAGTGGCTAAACGCACGATTCTAAACGTGGAGGGAAAAAATTAACCCGTAAAAACAAAGTTTTTCACTATAAATCTTTATATGCGTGGCGGCTAGAGTCCTCTCGTCCTCTGGCTTGAGATGGCTGCCACCTATGGGTCAGATGATTGCCTGCCACCATTAAGTAATTGGTAATTAAATATTTTAAAAAATCCTAAAAAGTGTAAAGTTATGGAAAAAAATTTTCACGAAAATAAATTGTCACGCACAACGAGTCTGTGTGCAAAATGTCAGCTCGATTGGATCACGGGAAGTGGGTTAAAAAACGACCGAAAGATTTGCACGGTCGTAAGCGCGCAAGTGAACTTAACATAAAGGATTTAAAAACCCGGAGGACCAGGATGAAAATGCACGCGACCACGTGGAGAAATAGACGCAAACTTCAAATATACAGCAGCAGCAGGCGTCAGGGTCGAGAGCGAACCCACGACCTCCTGTGTACCAGGCGAGATAGTTAACATCTCCTAGCCACCGTGGCCCCCATGCAATGCCAAAAAATCAACATTTTGCGTCAAAGCCTCTCCATGTCTCTCACCAATTTCAACGCACTACATAATGCGACACTCTCCGCTGTAAGATACGAAGTCCACGCTTTAACAATCGCCAATAACACGAGTCGAAGGGTCGTTAGAAATCGGTGGGGTACCTATGAATGGGTGAACCGCACTGACCGGCTGGATGAAGTTATGGTCAAAACAGCCCCTACGACTTTCCCCGACTTAAAAAAAAACCCCCTTCGAAGTGAATCGATGGCTCAGAGGTCAGAGTCTCCGGGGTGGGACGCGGAGTTCAAATCTTGCGTTACAGCAGTTGTCTGTGATTGAAGTCGGGTTCTCCAGAAGGTGTGGTGAGTTAATGCACAACAAACGAAAAATACATCCATCACGTTAAACTTGGTTTTGCTCTCTCCTTTGGCTAAATTCCAGCTTCTGAGAATTTGAAATATCTCGCTGTCAGTCACGTGAACGCAGAAGAGCTGCCCTCAGAGGTCGCCCGGGTGATAGGAATGTGTCCCCTGATTTTCAGGTTATTCGAGAAAACACCGGCAATCGGGCCAAGATTTTTGTTAAAAAAATTAGCGGATTGGTTTGAAAATATCTCGAGTTTTTTGTTTTACAAATGTTGGTGGCACATGGCGTCGTGTGACGTCGATGCATGAATGTCACCAATCCGAAAAATTGTCGTTGAAAAATAATATACATCCGGAATTATCTTTAAAAAAAATCCAAACTCTGGACCTTTTAAAAATTCCCCCCCCAAAAAACACCATCCGCCCCTCCGTGATATCCACTTGCCACGGGCCGTTCTCGAATGCAGAGATAGCCCACGGATTCCTCATCGCACGAGATGACGTTACGTGACAACGTGGCGAACTTCTTTCGCACCGTACACAGCCAACCGTACAACTCGGGAGACGCCGCCGATAGCGCAACTGGGGACCACTAAACCGGCAACATTTTTTGTTTAAAAAAAAACAAAGAAATCATTGCCACGCGCGCGCACTTCGCCCGGTTCGAAGGTTGCGTCAAGCCCCTCAAGACAGTTTGCAAGACAATCGATAAAGCACCAGCACGTCGAGAGAATATTTAAACGTCACCCCACCCCTTCCCCTCTCCAGCTCACCCCCATGGAAAATAAAACTTGAGATGACATCACCCCTAGCCAACGGCTCTCTAAAATCGGGCTGTGCCAATGTTCTTGGTAACAAGTGGAGGGTGGGTGTGGGGGGGGTGGATCTTAGCTGGATACTTGATTTAACGGAGTTGCTAGCAGCTGGCTAAAAATTCCAGTGTTGGGTTTAGACAAAAGTATATCTATAAAAGATGTTGTTTGGTGTTATCTGTTGTCATCCCTTCAAAGAAAAAGCCACCCCCCGCTTCGCCCTCCCCCGTGTTTAAGTGGTACGTTCCAGATGAGATCACCTCTCTTGCCCTGCCTTGTTTGGACTACGTGACATTTGTAGATTTGGCATGACGAACACACACACACCTGTTATAATTTCAACGCTCACGTAGTAGTGTTTCCGTACAGCTCTTAGTTGAACGCCGTCGCAATATCGTGAAACGGATGCTGCCGTTACAGCTTTAAACATAGTTTAGTATAATATCTCGTATAATATCTCGTCCTGCTCCGTCTGTGCTGTGAGCGTTACTATATTTTGGACAGTAGCAGCAGCAGAATGGACTTCATGCGAACTGGACACCTGGACACGTGGCAAACTCACGCCACGGCATGGGCCCTAAGTCTTTCAGGTATGGCGAACAAACTCTACCCACCGTCACAGCCGTAGAGAGAGTGGCAAGAGATATACACGGGCCGTCGCGTAAATGATTATCATCATCAACATCATCACAAATCATAATTTTGTCATCAAATAAATGATCTAAAAAACAATCAGATTTTTTTATTTGAATATTTTTAAATCTTAATTTTTTTTAATCTGAATTTTTTTTTAAACTGGAGGAATCCGATGAGCTATTAAGCTCTTTTTCCACCGATGTTCAGTTAGGGGCACGGGGGCAGGATGGTTACAACAACAAACTACACAAAACACGAGAGGAGGAGTGCAAAGCATAGGGTATGTAAACACATCACTTAACAAAATACCGTATCGACAAATAAACCTCAACTGTTTTATGTTACCAGGCAAGGCCCGCTGAACTGTTAGCTTTTTTTTACAGAAGCGACCTGCCTGTCACAGATGACAACTCAACAAAGTGAATAAACCACGGGGCAAATGATAGCAGAAAAATTATCTTAGTTTTTTTCGGTAAAATCACGTAGGTAAAATGTAAGACAAATAACAGAATAAATGCATTTTTTGTTCTTTTATTATTTTACTTTTATGATTTTTTACCTACGTGACTTTATTGAAAAAACCTAAGAGTGTGAATCCTTGTAGTCACGAAAGCTTCATATCTAGCAGCAAAATAGTCACAGCCGTAGAGAGACAAAAAACATAACTCTGATATGTTATGTTTTTTGTTTGCATTATGACTGCAGGTATTGTAGTCAATGCAAACATGACTCCTTGTAAAAAAGGTGTCAGTTTTTCTGCCAGATAAAAGGGTAAAAAACCAATTACCATGGAAAATTCGCTTTAAAGGTTGAATAATCTCCGGTCGATGTAGATGCCACTGGTTCTTCACGTTCTGCAGATGTAGATGCCACTGGTTATTCACGTTCTGCAGATGTAGATGCCACTGGTTCTTCACGTTCTGCAGATGTAGATGCCACTAGTTCTTCACGTTCTGCAAATGTAGATGCCACTGGTTCTTCACGTTCTGCAGATGTAGATGCCACTGGTTCTTCACGTTCTGCAGATGTAGATGCCACTGATTCTTCACGTTCTGTAGATGTAGATGCCACTGGTTCTTCACGTTCTGCAGATGTAGATGCCACTGGTTCTTCACGTTCTGCAGATGTAGATGCCACTGGTTCTTCAAGTTCTGCAGATGTAGATGCCACTAATTCTTCACGTTCTGCAGATGTAGATGCCACTGGTTCTTCACGTTCTGCAGATGTAGATGCCACTGGTTCTTCACGTTCTGCAGATGTAGATGCCACTGGTTCTTCACGTTCTGCAGATGTAGATGCCACTGGTTCTTCACGTTCTGCAGATGTAGATGCCACTGGTTGTTCACGTTCTGCAGATGTAGATGGCACTGGTTCTTCATGTTCTGCAGATGTAGATGCCACTGGTTCTTCACGTTCTGCAGATGTAGATGCCACTGGTTTTTCACGTTCTGCAGATGTAGATGCCACTAATTCTTCATGTTCTGCAGATGTAGATGCCACTAGTTATTCACGTTCTGCAGATGTAGATGCCACTAGTTCTTCACGTTCTGCAGATGTAGATGTCACCACCGCCATCTTTTGCACGTCAGTTGAACTTACGACTCTCGTTCCGAACAGGCAACTGGACATAGGGACATGTTTGTTTCCTGTCTCTGAAAGTTCGTAAGTCGAATGTTCCTAAGTAGTAGGGTCCCCTGTATTTCAAGAGCCGCAATTAACGTGAATACGAGACGGCGATCCTTAAAACAATAAAGTTACGAAGCGGTCCTTAAAGTTCCAGAGCCCCAGGCTGCAGCATGCTGATCATAGCGAGGAGGGAGGTTTCCTTGCCTGTGGACATATTAGCAGTTTGCCAGCGGTGCTATGAATCTGCTGATGAGACACCGGATGTCGAAACCGGTGCGGAGATTTACACCATTGGAACCTCATTTGCCAGTAAAAAATATGATAATTGTGTTTTTTACCCTTCCATCTGGAAACAAAACTGACACCTTTTTTTTTTACAAGGAGTCATGTTTGCATAGACCACAATACCTGCAGTCATAATGCAAACAAAAAACATAACTCTGATAATGTGCACTGTCCTTGAAGGACACTGCACATTATAACTCTGATAATGTCCTTGAAGGACAGTGCACATTATCAGAGTTATGTTTTTTGTGCACATTATAACTCTGATAATGTCCTTGAAGGATAGTGCACATTATCAGAGTTGTGTTTTTTGTGCACATTATAACTCTGATAATGACCAAGGACAGTGCACATTATCAAAGTTATGTTTTTGTTTGCATTATGACTGCAGGTATTGTGGTCTATGCAAACATGACTCCTTGTCAAAAAAAGGTGTCAGTTTTGTTGCCAGATGGAAGGGTAAAAAACCAATTATCGGTGCGGAGATGTTCTCGTATTCAACCAATGCTCATGAAAAAGTTCACTCCTAGAAGACCGCGCGGCTGATGGGATGTGTCGACGAAACATTGCAGAGAGACAAATATGGGAAGGAGGGATATTGTAAAAGTATTTATTCCGGTATGGATTACTTCGGTTTGTATACAGTAGAACCCCTCTTAACGACGGTGATTGGTTCCATGAAACCGGTCGTTAAGTGATTTTTGGTTATTAAGCGAGTCTAGGAAATACATTTTAAAGGCTTAATTCGTTCCGGCAGCATCAAAAGTTACCCTTTTTCACCCAAAAAACTTACTTGATAACATTTAAACAATGATAAAGATACAAACAACGTTATAAAGACATAATATGAAATACATTTGGTTAATCAAATAAGTAATTTATATTTACTGTACCTACAACAGCCCGTCGTTAAGTGATTAGTCGTTAACAGGGGAATGGTCGTTAACAGGGGTTCTACTCTACACTACTATACACTACACTATACACTACACTACTATACACTACACTATACACTACACTACTATACACTACACTATACACTACACTATACACTACACTACTATACACTACACTATACACTACACTACTATACACTACACTATACACTACACTACTATACACTACACTATACACTACACTACTATACACTACACGACTATATACTACACTACTATACACTACACTATACACGACTACTATCCACTACACTATACACTGCTATACACTACACTATACACTACACTACTATACACTACACTATACACCACACTACTATACACTACACTATACACTACACTATACACTACACTACTATACACTACACTATACATTACACTATACACTACACTACTATACACTACACTATACACTACACTACTATACACTACACTACTATACACGACTATACACTACACTACTATACACTACACTATACACTACACAATGGGCTCTATGGAGGCCCGTCGTTAAGCGATGAGTCGTTAACAGGGGTGGTCGTTTAGAGGAGTTCTATTGTGTATATATATATTCCACAGATGCACGTTATGCTACAGACGCATAGAATTACATTGAGACCGATATATGTACGTATGTTGAACCGTAACAACCATGCTAATCCGAGACTCACAAACTTACAGATACAGTACTTACATTGAATTACATATCGTTACATAGATATACATAGACTTATATAGAGACCTTCAGACTTACACAACGACCCCGAGATGACATAGACAAAATATATACACAGAGAAAGCCGCAGACTTACACAGAGACCTATGTATTTGCCTATAGATCCATATGCTTACAAAGAGACCCATGGATTTACATCGGCTCTCTGAGACCAACAAAATCTGTACACGTCAACCCACAGACTTACATAGAGACCCATAGACCCATATAGAAACTCATATAGCCTTGCATAGAGACCCGCAGACGTGCATAGAGACCAATAGACATAACATATCTAAACACAAATTAATTGGCGAAACCATCTTTGTATATAGAGGACTGCAGAGCTTGGCCAATTGTTGGTTGCACTGGCCCAGCATTGCCTGTGGTTCCGAGAGATGTGATTTGCATGAACGATGACGACGATATATATCTAAACAATGTAACTCTACATTGCAGTGACTAATCCCATATCTGCATTTTCCATAAATATGCTAAATTCCTCTCTCGATATGTAAATTCCTTTGTCAAGGCGCTCTCCTCCTCTAACCCCTGCTTAAATGTACGCTGCCAAGCCTGGTGGTGTTCATTCAGACGCTGTCTTTCCGACAGCCCTGTTCTTCACCTGAGGACGGCTGCTTGCGTTGTGGCCGAAACGTTGTGAGAATTATATTTAATTATGTTTTATTTTTGTTATTTTATTATTTCCCTTCTACGTGACTTTACCGAAAGAACCAAGAAGATGAATGTAACTCTTTCATTTTCTAAAACATTTTTATAATTCAAATTTCAATTAATTTTGTATAGGCCGTGGTCTGTGAGAGCTTAGATGTGTGTGTGTGTGCCAATTTTCACAAGGACAAAAATGTCCTTTGGTTGTCCATAATTAATAGATCGGCAACATTGTAATTGATATTCACTGATCCTTTCCGGAAATTGATAGGAAGAATGTGTGGTCGATGGTAGAGAAACCTTTCCTAAATCTGGCTTGCATGTGTGATTTTCGGCACTCTAAATGTTTCCACGATTTAGCGCCTTCGTGGTGGCCTCGTGCTACAGGCAGTGTTTTCATTGCAAGGCCCCCACGGATCCCTGGCGGCCCCCGGTGGCCTTTAGTGCAGCCCCTGACGTACGGCCCCGACAATACAACCAAACGTGAAAATACCGCCCATCATCATCATCATCGTGCTGCTGTCAAACCCACATGGTTTCAATTGTGTGGCGGCCCTCACGCTGATGATATCTTATCGGAAAAAGTGCCCCCCCCGCCCCAAACCCTGAAAGTTAGTGAAGATCACTGCGCTACGGTAACGGTGCGAACAACTACGTGCACCGATGGCGATTTGACGACCGCGTGTGCATTGTTGTCGTGCCTCACTTTAGGCATCACCTCCAAGGCGTCGACCCCTCCACCTATCGTCTTCCCCCCATTTCCTCTCCCGCTCCACACCCCCTTGTCACCTCCTCCTCCGCCACCGCCGCCACCGCCACCGCACGGCCCCCCGACGGTCCAACGCAGACGCTGCTTCCGGTTCCCCCGCCCGCGCTGGGACAGCGACGACTGCAACGACGATGACGACGACGACGATGACGACGACGATAATGGTGGTGGTGGTGGATGGGGGTTCGTCAAGAGGTCACGACCTGGCTCAGCCTCGCCATCGCTCGTTCCGATGCAGTAAGTGAGCTTCCCACAATCCCTTGCAGCTGCGGACTGATTTACATTTTGTTCATTGTTGCCCTTATATTCCTGGCTTCATCATTTTGGTGACCCAGATCATCCCAGCAAATAATGCTCATGCTTCGCCACTTGTTTTCCCATCTGATTAAGCGAAATCAACTTTAAATACCGCGAAATCGCTTAATCCCTTGCTGCTGCTGTTGTTGCTGCTGTTGTTGATTTAGCCACGTCTGGGTGTTGAACAATTCGGAAGGCTACGGTGATCTCTCGGCTTTCGCGCTCCGCCACCCTCCGCTGCCGCCACCGCCATTACCGGCACCTCCACGGATACCCGTGGGCAGCCCAGAGTCCTCGCAAACGATTGGCACCGCTACTGTTGCGTCACGCATCCTGCAGCAGCAGCAGGTAATGGGTTTATGAAATGAATTCACGAGTAACATTTTTTTGCCCTGGAAATCCCCACTTAGTTTTGAGACTTGTCACTTGTGTTCCCATATGATTAAGCGAGATGTGAACTACGTCGCCTGGTATGAAGGAGGTCGTGGGTTCGATTACGACTCTAACGCCTATATATTTGGAGTTTATGTGTTTCTGTCCCCATTGTCATGTGGATTTTTCTCCTGGACCTTCGGTTATTCCCTGCAACATTTAGAAACATGCGTTCAGAGTATTTGGCTGCTATACATTTCCAAATGATAATTCACTTCGTTGAGCTATCATTTTGGGCCAGGTCGCTTATGAAAAAAAGCGATTTAGCTGTGCGGGCCTTATCTGGTAAAATAAAAAAAACGTGAATTGGATTTTGACGATTCAGGGCCCTGCGTTGGTTCTGAGTTTTACTTTATCGCGCGGGTGGCGACCGCAGACTCGCCGGGTGGAATAGGAGGGCGGTTAGGGTTGAGGGCTTGCTCCAACTAAAAGTCAAGAACTTAGGAATTTGCGGCGCATCTGCAGTGATGCTTGAGATCAGGATGATTAGTCAATTAATTGGGCTCATTTTACGAAAACATACGATCGACTCGGGGCCACACCCACACCCTACCTCTTGAAGGCGGGAAACCTCCACAACGCTGTGCCCTGCTCGACACGGCTGATGATGCCGCGCCGATAATCTCCCGTCCAGCGGCACATGTTGGGAACAGAAGCGAGGCAAATTTTTTACCCCCAATGTTAACCGATTGATCGGGTATTGAAACCTATTAGGAAACCACTGGAGCTATGCACGTTTCAATCGAGATTGAAAAACTCATTTCTTGAGAAATGCTTTTTGTGTCTAGCTTGTTGTCCTTCCCCCGCACCTCCGATTAGCACGGTTGGCTACGTACGGTGCGAAAGAAGTTCAACATAATTTGTAGAGCAATCATCAGTTTAAATAATCAGATAGCCCAGCTCTCTGTTTGCGCGCAGGGCCGAGGTGGACGGTGCAGGCTGGGCGAGAGGCGGCGGCGGTGACGGATTTGGGGGGGGGGGGGGGGGGGGGGGACCTTCAGCAGTGGATTGACCATGTGACTTATGAGCCCGGCCCTGCTCGGGAGCCGTTCCTTGCGTGCACTTCGCTCACTCTGTGACTCTGCGTGTACCCACAGGCTCGCCCGTCGGTGATCGTGTGCGCTCCGGCATCAAGTCGCGACTCGCGACGCGCTCAGCCGGCGCCCGGCGGCACACCGAGTGAGTACGGCACCTGGATCTGCTGCGTCGCTCACCTCACCGCCCGTCGGCTTTTTTTGTTTTTCACGCGAGATCCCTTTGAGCGGCATCTCCGGACAGGTCCATGGGACAGCTCTTGCCCTAACCCAGGCCTAGGGAGCCTTTTCTCTATTGAGGTAATTCAATGACCGTTCTTCAACTGAATACCATTCTTTCAACCTATGTCATTTGTGATGATGACGACGATGACGATGATGATCATGACGACGATGATAATGATCATTTTAATTATCATGTGTTTTTGGGTCTCACAGCAGCACCACGGAATGGCGGCATGGACGAACGTGAAGGGCGACCGGGAGGAGTGAGGAGGCCAGGGTGGCAGCGGGCGCTGCCTCTTCCTCCTCCTCCTCAGTCTCCTCCTCAGTCTCCTCCTGCTCCTCAGTCATCTCCTCCTGCTGTCGACCTCACAGCCCCAATGGCGAGGGCGACTTCCATCGCAGGCTCGGTGGACGATCACTTCCGCCAGTCCCTCGGAGACCTGTGGCTGCAAATAAAGGCCACTGAATCTGCCTCACCCCCGACCTCTGCTTCACCCATTATCTCTGCCTCACCTTTGACCTCTCTGTCACCCCCGGCTTCCGTTTAGCCTTTGACCCCACAGGGCTTAGTCACCGATCTGAATTTGTGACCTGGGTTTCACCTCCGACTTCAGGTTTTCCCCAAATTGGGGCTGCGCTTAAAATCTCCGTTTAATCTTCGACCAACTCTTCACATTGGACCCCTGTTTTACCTGTCACCCGTTTAGACCTATGAGCATTGTATTAGCTGCTGATCATACCCTGTCTCGTATTGGTCAGAACGAATCACGTGTGAGGTTTCTTTCGAGGTGACAGCCCATCAGCAACGTGTGTTACGAGTCACCTGACCGCCGACTCCATCTTGAATGACAGCGCCACAGAAGTGAGTGGTGTTCCGTTTGCTCCCACGAGCATCGAGTATTAACTCACCTGAACTTTTCTTTTGCCGAGCAATTGAAGAATATTCCACATTCCTATGACGGCGACCAGGACATCTACAGGACAACCACAAGTTCTGAACAAAATGTTCCGGTCTTACGAGGTGGTTCTTAGTTTACTGATTGCAGAGGAAAGATGTTGATGGCCATGATGACGATGGAGCGGTGGGATCTCTGTTTGGAATTTTAATTTGGGATAAAAACAGTTCCAAGTTCGCTGCTTTCATTTTCACCAGTGCCAACCCCAGCTTGGGTTGGACAGGTGTGAATCAGAGCTCCATGGCTCGTCGGGATCTTCCAGCTGAACACGAAATGTCTCGGTGTTTACCGTGGGTCCCATGCATTGCGGCTCTTGAAATATTGAGTTTTTTTTTTTACCGAATTCGAAACAAAATGGCTCTTATTCTATGGTTCTTTCGGTAAGGTCACGGCAATTGAAAAAAATAACAGTTAAATAATTAAAAGAAAGTTTTTGGTTTTGGCGACGTATCACATCTCGAGTTACCCGTGGTTACAGTTCGCTCTCGATTTACCCGCGGGCAGATTATCCACTCTGTGGATTCAATCCTGCTCATTCGCAACTCGTAACGCCCACTCCCTGTTCAATTACATTCTCCTCATACTCTTAGTTCTTTCGGTAAAGTCACGTAGGTAAAAAATGAAATGAAAATTAATAAAAAATAAAGTAATTAAATAATTTTATTAATTTTCATTTCATTTCTTTCGGTAAAGTCACGTAGGTAAAGAATGAAATTAAAATTAATAAAAAATAAAATAATAAAATTATTTTTATTTTCATTTCTTTCGGTAAAGTCACGTGGGTAAAAAATGAAATAAAAATTAATAATAAAAAATAATAAAATAATTTTATAAATTTTAATTTTATTTTTTACCTACGTGACTTTACCGAAACAACTAAGAGTATGAATCCTTGCAGTCACGAAAGCTTCAAATCTAGAATTAATACATTCTCCTCACTCGTCGAGGGTCAGTGGCCTGGTGCCCACGTGATCGCGGGCGGACGTGCGGGCCGGATAACCGGGCACTTAAAAAACAAACACATGCACGGCACGTCGTAGTCAAAACGCTTTAGACGCGTATGTACCGTGCTTACGCAAAATGTTAAAACAGACTTCCGTGGTGTGGTGCAATGTTTACAAAGTGCCAGCAGCTCATTCGTGCCAGCCCAGATCTTTGTGTAAGATGATCTAAGCTGCTGCCACGTCACTGGCAGACAGGCAGGCAAACCCGTCGTCTTTGAAACAATAATTGACGCGAGCTTTGAATAATCCCTTGTTTTTTGGTTGATCAGGCCCATGTCCCGCTCGACATCCATCAACTGCAGATGATCGAGGGTTAACCGTACAGGATGCACGAATGACATCTCGATTTGTAGGCCGCGGGTTACTTGAAAGTTTGTCTCGTGACAAACTGGCTCGTAACGAGAGAGCAGTCGGAACTTCATTAGACCTCCTTTGCCAGTAAGTGTAGATGTTCACCCCGAGCCCTCATTACTTTGATAGTGCATTGTCTTTGAGCTGTACGCCTTTTGACGTCCTCTGGTCGAGCACCAATTGGGTCGAGGCTCAAAAGAAAGCTGTCTCTGGTGTGGACCAATCAGTTTCAAGGACAATGCATGTATTATCAGTGTGTTTTTTGTTTGCATTTTGACTGCAATTATTGTGGTTAATGCAGACATGAATCCTTGTTAAAAGGTTTCAGTTTTGTTGCCAGAAAAAAAAAGGGAAAAAACCCCTATTATTACAGTCGGAACTTGTGAACTCCCATCGAAGCGGGCCGGTGACGAATGCTCCGACTGGCTTGGCCATAGTGGCTCTTGAAGAGACGTTACAACAAGTAGCGAATGGCAGTGCTGCGGTGTGAACTTGTTTAAAGAGGGGTGATTAAAACTGTTTTTTTATTTCGCCAGGCAAGGGCTCACTGAGCTATTTAGCTCTTTTTCAGAAGCGACCTGGCCACAAATAGTAGCTCAACGAAGTGGATTATCATCACGTGGAAATGTAGAGCATCAACATACTCTAAAGGCACGCTGTTGATTCTAAATGTGGAGAGAAAAACCGGAGGACCCGGAGAAAAATCCACGCGACCACGGGGAGAGAGAAACCGCAAACTCTAAATATACGGGCGTTAGGGTCGGGTATCAAACCCACGACCTCCTGCATACCTGGCGAAGTAGTTAACATCTCCTAGCCACCGTGGGTTAGTGGTAGGGGCACAACAGAATCATTGTCAAACTTTAAAACGGATCGAGTAACGATGTGGTCTGCTTGCGTTTACCGCGCGTTTTGCCCAAGGTCTCTCGATCGCCCTCTGTGTACCGTATAGATATAAGGAAATACTCGGATGCCCATTTGCTAAATTTTATTACAAAATTTCGCACGGTGTCTAACACCAATGGTTTATATTTGTACGCGTTTGGTTTCTGGCAACAAAAACCACCAGCGGTTCCTGAAGATACTCTCTGGTTCTTTCGGTAAAGTCACGTAGCTACAAAATAAATTAAATCACGACGTTTCGGGCGCAACACAAGTGCCCGTCATCAGGTGGAAACAACCACAGCAATAAACAATTGCTGAAGTGGGCAAAAAAAAAACTTCAAATCTAGAATGGTTCCTGAAGAACTGAATTTGTGGTCTCCTTGTCCGAGCTCGGTTGGAACCTTTGGCCCAACGTTGACCTGTTGATGTTTCATGTTTACTCAAAAATCTGTCGTGAGTTTTCTCGTCATGGGCAGGTTTGACACGTACTCTTTGGTTCTTTCGGTAAAGTCACGTAGGTGAAAAAAAATTGAAATAAATAAATCACGACCTTTCGATTGCAACACAAGCAATCACCCACGTGACTTTACCGAAAGAACCAAAGAGTATGGATCCTTGCAGTCACGAAAACTTCAAATCTAGAAAGGGTTGACACGCTTAAAAGGCAGAGCCTGTAGGTGTGGCGATTCTCGTGACCGAGTGCACGCTGTTTGTTACCGTACGCTGAACTTCTACGTGGCCAACCGTGCACCGGTCAAATTATAAAAAAAAAACTAGCGAACTTTGAAGATAATTTTGCATAAACATTTTCTGACTTGATTAGAATGTAGAGGCTGGAGGGGGGGGGGGCTCACCCAGATGCCCCCCCCCCCCCCATTTTATCTGTACAACGGATTGACAAGAATCCATCACTGCACTAGGGAAGGGGAAATAGAGTTGTATACATGGAATATGCAAGTGTGTGTCTGTGTTATTGTTGTACTCGTGTTTGAAGTGTCCTAATTTAAGCTTGTGTTATTTCTAACGTGACGGGAGATGTTTTTTTTTTCTAGGAGTGTGAGACGATGTTTACAGCGTGAGCGTAACACAATTTTTTTTAAGGATTTATTAAAAGCGAAAACTTTGACCGGATTTAATAATGACAATACAATTTTCTGTCAATAAAAAAAACTGAAATTTAAAATAAAATAAGCTCTTGATATTGCTTCCAATGTGCTGTGTTTTTTTAAAATAGAAATTATATACAGTGTCACGAAAAGGAACATTTAACATTCTGAAGTATATTAAACAGTTGCAATACACCGCCTTTGACTGCCACTCAATTGTAGATTGAAAACTCATTCGTAGGGCTTTTCATGTAAAGTTTGTTGTCCTATTATTCTTCTATTATTGAAAAAATGAATCTTTTATTATTTATTAATTTCCCCTACGTGACTTTACCGAAAAAACCCAAGAGTATGAATCATTGCAGTCACGAAAGCTTCAAATCTAGAATTAACACCCTCTACGGGGAGGAATTTCACCTATCTGTTAGAGCTTTTTGATTTATTATTTTATTTATATTATTTTTATTATTTATGTGTTTTTACCTACGTGACTTTACCGAAAAAACCTAAGAGTATGAATCCTTGCAGTCACAAAAGCTTCAAATCTAGAATTAACACCCTCTACGGGGAGGAATTTCACCTATCTGTTAGAGCTTTTTGATTTATTATTTTATTTCTATTATTTTTATTATTTATGTATTTTTACCTACGTGACTTTACCGAAAAAAACAGTACGAATCCTTGCAGTCACGAAAGCTCCAAATCTAGAATTAGTCGTTCTTCCCCCGCACCTCCGATTAGCTCGGTTGGCTACGTACGGTGCGAAAGAAGTTCAACACACACACTAAGCCACGTAATGTCAACATTCATAGCAACGTGTCACATATCCATCTGTCTCTCCGCAAAAAAACACAAGCATTTCTCAAATCTCATCATCCGCACACACACCGTTAACCACATAAGTAACCAAAAAAATTTACAAAACTAAAAAATCGCTCCGGAACGAAAAAACTGTCAGGGCGTGTATTCGGTTACCGGTTCAGTGCACATAGCCACGGTCCCTCAGTCGAGTAAAAATAGAAATTTGCCGTGGTCCCCCAACTTTAGCATGCACAGTGTGGACAGGGAGATAGACAGAGACAGACACAGAGAAATAGACACCAGAGACACACACATAGACACAGTGAAACACAGAGAGACACAGAGACACACACAGAGACACAGTGAAACACAGAGAGACACACACAGAGACACAGTGAAACACAAATACAGACACACAGAGACACATAGACACCAGAGACACACACAGAGACACAGTGAAACACAGAGAGACACACAGAGACACACAGAGACACAGTGTAACAGAGAGACACACAGAGACACACATAGAGACACAGTGAAACACAGAGAGACACACACAGAGACACAGTGAAACACAGAGAGACACACACAGAGACACAGTGAAACACAGATACAGACACACAGAGAGACACAGAGACACAGTGAAACACAGAGAGACACACAGAGAGACACAGTGAAACACAGATACAGACACACAGAGAGACACACAGAGACACAGTGAAACACAGAGACACACACATAGACACAGTGAAACACAGATACAGACACACAGAGACATAGACACCAGAGACACACAGAGACACAGTGAAACACAGAGATACACACAGAGACACACACAGAGACAGTGAAACACAAACACAGATAAAGACACATAGACACCAGAGACACACAGAGGCACATACAGAGACACAGTGAAACACAGAGACATACAGAGACACAGTGAAACACAGAGAGACACACAGAGACACACACATAGACACAGTGAAACACATATACAGACACATATACACCAGAGACACAGATACAGTGAAACACAGAGAGACACACAGATACACATAAACACCAGAGACACACAGAAACACAGTGAAACACAGATACAGACACAGAGACAGACACACAAAGAGACACACAGAGACACAGTGAAACACAGATAAACACAGAGAGACAGAGACAGACACAGAGAGAGACACAAAGAGACACCAGACACAGAGAGACACAGTGAAACAGAGACAGACACAGAGAGAGACACAGACGCGTGGCTGGAGACGCAGAGAGAGACAGAGACTGCCATAGAGACCCAGACGTCGTCTTCTTGATCCTTGTTAAACTTTCAAAGCTTTCACCTGAATGGTCTTTACTGGCGGTAAGTCGTTGTTCAACGTTTTAGTTGGAGGAGGTTGCATGCAACATTGTCTTTAAATCGATCATTAAAGCCAAATAATATTCTGTAGTTGAGTAACGATGATCAACACAGTGAAACACAGAGACACACACACAGACACAGCCAAACACAGATACAACGACACACATACAGACAGACACAGACACACAGAGACACACACAGACAGACACAGACAAACACAGACACAGCGACACACAGACACACACACAGCGACACACAGACACAGCGACACACACAAACACATACAGCGACACAGACAGACACAGATAAACACAGTTTCAGCGACACACAGAGACACACACACACAGCGACACACAGCGACACACAGACACACACAGAGACACACAGAGACACACACGCAGACACACAGACACACACAGACACAGCGACACACACAAACACAGATACAGCGACACACAGACAGACACAGATAAACACAGTTTCAGCGACACACAGACACACAGAGACACACACAGACACAGAGAAACACAGATACAGCGACACACATACACACACACAGACACGCAGAGACACACACACAGACACACACAGAGACACACACAGACAAACACAGATACAGCGACACACACACAGACACAGACAAACACACACACACACAGACAGACACAGAGACACACACACAGACACAGACAAACAGATACAGCGACACAGACACACACACAGACACACACACAAACACAGACAAACACACACAGACACACACAGACACACACACAGACACAGACAGAGACAGACACAGACAAACACAGACACAGACAAACACAGACACAGACAAACACAGATACAGCGACACACAGACACACACACAGATACACACACATACACAGACAAACACAGACAAACACACACAGCCACACACAGACACAGACAAACACACACAAACACAGTTTAACACAAATACAGCGACACACACAGACAGACACACAAAGAGACAGAGCCATCGCTTGCCCAAGCTGTACGCATGCGTTTCTGTGATAGTTGTTGAGTACTCACAGCTGTCAACCCATAGACGGTTCACCCCGTATGCTTGTGCAGGGAAATTGAGTTTTCAGGTCCATAAGGTGCACAGCGGGCAACACAAATCAACATGAGTGTGTGCATCCACATATCAAGCAAGCAGGCAGCATCAGCAGTAAGCATGCTAAGTAGCATCATTGACACCAATGATCAAAATTAATGCATTAAACTGTTTTTGTTTAGTAACATAATTTGTGTCTGTTTGTGACTTTGTAGGATGAACGTTGAGATTGTATAAGGGGCACGAGGTGACCAACACGGTCTGAATTGGTCTGTAATCAGGTAAGCGGTTGACAGGTTTGTGTGCTGGAGTAGCCGGCAGATACAGGGATAGAGAAACAGTTCGTATGTTGAACTTCTTTCGCACCGTACGTCGTCCACCGTGCTAATGGGAGATGCGGGGTGGGGGAGAAGGACAACAAACTAAATTTCGATCTAAAGCTTTCGTGACTGCAGGGATTCATCTTCTTGGTTCTTTCGGTAAAGTCACGTAGAAGGAAAATAATAAAAATAAAACATAATAAAATAATTCTCACGACGTTTCGGCCACAACGCAAGCAGCCGTCCTCAGGTGGAGAACAGGTCTGAAGACGGCTGCTTGCGTTGTGGCCGAAACGTCGTGAGAATTATTTTATTATGTTTAATTTTTATTATTTTATTATTTTCCTTCTACGTGACTTTACCGAAAGAACCAAGAAGATAACAAACTAAACACAAAAAGCCGTTCGAGAGACAAGACTTTTCAATCTAGATGACGATTTACAAGTTGCACAGCCCCAGTGGCTTCGCAATATCTGAAGGAGGAGCGTTCCAGACGGTCGCAGAAGTAGAGACTGCGCGTCCGTGCCTCTTAACAACGATGCTTGGTTCGGTTTTTGATAGAACTTCCCTCCTAGACACTCGTTTCGACGTTTCGATCGCAACACAAGCGGTCGTCATCAGTAAAAGGGGTTTAGCCTCTAAAGGCAAACTGTTTATAGAGGTTTTAAATGGGCGTAGCCCAAGTGTCAGTAGCATGGGGGGGGGCAGCTAATGTTAATGTTGTTGACGGTGGAGGTTGCTGCTACTGGAGATGATGGTAGCAGAGGTCGCAACTGGGTACCCGATACCCGTACCCTACCCGATACCTGGCTACCCGTACCCAGCCGGGTACGGGTACCCGTTTGTGACCCTGGTGCGGCCGGGTACGGGTAGACCGTGAGTCACTGGTGAGTAACTCTTTGTCACTCATTTCCCAACGTCTTGTCTCTTCTCACAATTCAAGTTCCTCGAATCAACCCACCCACGCCTGCAACATGGCTTCATCCCAGAGGTCGCAATCAGGTACCCAATACCCGTACCCTACCCGTACCCGGCCGGGTAAGGGTAGGGTTCAGGTACGGCTGGGTACGGGTACCCGTTTGTGACCCTGGTGCGGCCGGGTACGGTTACGGGTAAGGAATCAAAACCCGTTTGCGACCTCTGGATGGTAGTAGTGGGTAATGATGGTAGAGGTAGTGGGCTCCCACCAATAGAGGGCTACTGCTAGTGGTGATTGTAGGAGTGGGCAGCGATGGTCCTGGTGGTGAGCTTCCTCCAATTAAAGGGCTGCCAGGTCTAAAATGGAAACATTACAGACAGTTATGACTACTACCATCACCACTAGCAGTAGCCCTCTATTGGTGGAAGCCCACCACCTCCTCCATCATTACCCACTACTACCACCATCTCCAGTAGCAGCAACCTCCACCGTCAACAACATTAACATTAGCTACCCCGCCCATGCTACTGACACTTGGACTACGCCCATTTTAAACCTCTATAAACGGTTTGCCTTTAGAGGCTAAACCCCTTTTCCTGATGCCGACCGCTTGTGTTGCAATCGAAACGTCGTGGTTTTATTTTATTATTTTTATTACTTTCATTTCTATTCACTTTATTATTATTTTTCTATCTACGTGACTTTACCGAAAGAACCAAAGACTGTGAATTCCTGCAGTCACGAAGGTTTTAAGTCAAAATTTGCGCGCCAGTAAGGGGAACGATGATTGCTGTGTGGTTTAGCCAAGGCCAGCCCCAAGTAGCAGCTGACCCTGTGGGGCATAAGGTTGCTCAGCACGTGACCTGTATAAAATGGGCATTTGTGTGGCAGTAAGGGTGGCGATGATTGCTGCTTGCTGTGTGTCTAATCCCAATAGAGTAGTTTGAGGAATAATTTTCGGATTTGGCAAATGCCTCTCAGCGCCTCGCTGTCTCTATGCGTCTCGGGTGGTCGTACAGTAGATCACTTTCTAAATGTTGTGACGCCAATGCTCACTCGCTAAAGATAGCATGGCTGCCACTCAGCTGTGCTGAGCACTGCTAACAGAATGCCAAGTTTTGCACCAGAGATGGATCTGTGCTTGGCCGGATCAAATTATATCTTGTACCCATAGAGAGGATCTCACCTCTGTGGAGCCTCTGTTGTGAGGTTCAGTCACCCAAGGCCACTTGACCATTGACATATCCCAGCCAATTATCACATTTGTGCCTCCCAACATTAAGCCAGCTTCAGTCCGAATAAGAATGAGATGCTGGGATTGAAGTTTTCGTGACTGCAAGGATCCATACTCTTTGGTTTTTTCGGTAAAGTCACGTAGGTAAAAAAACTATAATAAAAATAAGTATTTTTATTTTATAAAATATTTGTATTTTCTTTTTTCACCTACGTGACTTTACCGAAAGAACCAAAGAGTAGAGATGCTGGGTGGATGACAATGCACTGTTGTCCTTCCACCGCACCTCCGATTAGCACGGTTGGCTGCGTACGGTGCGAAAGAAGTTCAACAAAGACACAGAGGCTCCCAGAGGTAAACGAGACCAGTAGTATAATTGAGTGGCTGAGTAGATTTGTCATGAACATATCTGTCCGGGCAGGGATGGCAGTACAGCAAGTGGATACATTTTCATCCGTATTTTTGGGTCACGTTTACTCTTGCGTTTCATTGTAATTAAGAGTGAGACGTCTTCTTGGTTCTTTCGGTAAAGTCACGTAGAAGGGAAATAATAAAAATAAAACATATTAAAATAATTCTCACGACGTTTCGGCCATAACGCAAGCAGCCGTCCTCAGGTAAAGAACAGGTCTGTCGGAAAGACATCGTCTGAATGAACAGGTCTGTCTTTCTGACAGACCTGTTCTTCACCTGAGGACGGCTGCTTGCGTTGTGGCCGAAACGTCGTGAGAATTGCATTTTATTGTTTTATTTTTATTATTTTATTATTTTCCTTCTACGTGACTTTACCGAAAGAACCAAGAAGATGAATCCCTAAGTCACGAAACTTTAAATCGAAATTTAAGAGTGAAACGTTTGATTAATTGAAAACGTAATTGCCTTTCCATTCGACCGCGTTGTGTTCCTTCATCACGGATAGGCCACCGAGTGGTCTTCTCGTTTCAGGACACTTAGGAAGAAGGCCTGGCGGAGTTTGTGAGGATGCAGTTGAGCCAGGAGGAGACCAATGGCCCTATCAGCTCACAGGGACATGACTCGTGAGTCAAGACCAGGATCATCATAAACCGCAATGTTTACAATAGCCCATAGTAGGACTTCGTTTTTCATTTCAGGCTGATTTCAGATATATTACACTGGTCAACACACTTTTTCTGGCATAAGGTATTCAAACGGGTTTAAGGTAATTTTGGGGGTACCGATTCCAAATCTGGCATCAGTTTTTGTCTATCACATCAGGTTTTTGAGATATCAAATATTGCATTTTAAATAAAAACTGTAGAAGAAAAATATTAAATAAATGTGGATATCTACATAAAATTATATTATAAACACACTATCCTAAAAATACAGCACCCTATTTTAACACTAAAGTAGTCACTGACTCGCAACAACTTGCAATCATAATGACAGAGTTAATTTCGGGTAAAATAAATGAAAATGGGGTATGCCGATATCATAAAAATGAGATGTGATAGAGCAAATCTGAGATCAGATTTGGAATCAGCACCCTGAAATTAGCCTGAAACAGCTGCAAAAGGTCCAGGCCAGAAAAAAATGTTTTTTTTTTGTTGACCAGTGTTATTTCCTAATTTTTTGTTTGTTATTTTACGTTATTTAGTTCTGTAGTGTACATGACCATTCTTAAGCTCAATATAAGTTTACAGCTACCTATCATAGTGTTACATTTTGGGATTTTTTAATCTAGGATTTTGGCATTTTAAGGCCAATTTTAGATCTGTATGAATAATTTACAGGCCTATGTCAATCCGTCGTTATGATTGATGGCTGCCCCATGCCGTGTCGGCTGTGAGGGTTATTTAACCATCCTTCACCAGTTGGGTTTTTCTACAACATTGATAAATGAAAATGAATTACATTTCGATTTAAAGCTTTCGTGACTGCACTGATTCATCTTCTTGGTTCTTTCGGTAAAGTCAAGTAGAAGGGAAGTAATAAAATAATAAACATAAAAAAACAATAAAATAATTCTCACGACGTTTCGGCCACAACGCAAGCAGCCGTCCTCAGGTGAAAACCAGGTCTGTCGGGGAGACAGCGTCTGAATGAATGAATTACAACAAACGATGTCTGCCTGCCTCGTATCTTTGGATCAGATTGCGTGCACAGTTGCAGTAAGACTCTGGGAGGAGAGTCAATGGCCACGAAACCTTAACCGCATCACCTTACACCCGCTCCCGATTCCATCCTGCAGGCCAGAAGAGAGCAGCACCCACAGTCGGATCATCAACTGCATCAGGACGGGTCAGTTTGTCATTTATTGAGTTTTCTTCGCAGCACAGAAAGAGGCCACAGAGGTAGCGGGAAATGCAATTTTAGAGCAGGGCTGCCGGCAAAGTGCGCCCTCTATGTGTGAATGAAAGCACATGTGGCAGAACCCTGTGGTGCATCTTCACATAGAGTTTGTTGTCCTTCCTTCGCACTTCTGATTAACACGGTTGGTTACGTACGGTGCGAAAGAAGTTCGCGACCGCTATTATCCATAATATAGTTTTTTTTTTTTAGTTAGATCGCGTAAATATAAATGTGCCATTAAAACCGCCACCACCCGACACAGCCAATTAGTAAGGTTTGTCACGTAAACAGAAGATGCCAGTTTGTTACAAGTACAGCACACCGGTGTGTTGGAGAGTAAATCCACAACATTTACAATTTTCAGGAAAGTCTTATTGAGTCTCTCGACTCTTATTTTAGGAGGGTCCTACAGAGTTCTAACCAGGGTGGCCTGCCGGATTCGAACCGGAAACTTTTACGACTCCGGCTGGGCCATGTCACCACGTTTAATGGTGACGACAAGACATTTTGTGCCTTTACAAAGCTGGGCCAGTGCTGGTGGAAGTCCGTGTAGTTTGTAGTTCTGGTTCGTTTGCATATTCCCCCCCTGAAATGCCCTGTCACTGCTGCCACTGCCAACGGTCTTGGGCTGCAGTCTATGAGTCTCTGTCAGAGGTCGCAAACGGGTTTTGATTCCTTACCCGTACCCTACCTGATACCCGGCTACCCGTACCCGGCCGGGTATCGTGTAGGGTATCGGGTACCCGATTGCGACCTCTGGGATGAAGCCATGTTGCAGTCACGGGTGGGTTGATTCTAGGAACTTGAATTGTGAGAAGAGACAAGACGTTGGGAAATGAGTGACAAACGGTTACTCACCAGTGACTCACGGCCTACCCGTACCCGTACCCGGCCGCACCAGGGTTGCAAACGGGTACCCGTACCCATACCCGGCCGGGTACGGGTAGCCGGGTATCGGGTAGGGTACGGGTATCGGGTACCCGGTTGCGACCTCTGGTCTTTGTATAACTCTATGAGCTCTATGCAACTCTATGGATCTCTATGTAACTCTATATAACTGCGATGCCATGTAACTGCCGCCACTCCGACGGTCTTGCGCTTTTGGCGTCCGTGCAATGCAACGAAGAGCTCAATTTTGGGCCTCAGCAGCTGAGATGATGAACTCCCGGGTGCGAGTCTGAAAGGCGGTCGGCCCGTGTCCAGGCGGCGTGCTGGAGCTGCAGAAGCTGTCGCGTTTCCGCTCCGCGTTCGACGAGGCCGACGATCGAGGGTGGTTCCCACTGCACGAGGCGTCCGTGCAGCCGCTCGAGCAGATCCTGGAGGTCACGCTCGACGGTAACACGGAGAGAGAGGCCACAGCCAGCATCCGTCTATCTATACACAGATGTGTGTACAGGCGGCCCTCGACGTACGAACACCCGCACTTACGAGCGCCCGCACTTACGAACATTGACTTCAAACGCGAAGTCGCACGTGCAAACTGGATGTAATCAGTCAGCATCACGCTGGGACTGAGTGTGTGTGTGAAAGCTGAGTTTTATACGCTTAGGTTTTTTCGGTAAAGTCACCATGTAGGAAAAAAATATAAAATTAAAATTAATAAAAGTAATAATAGAAATAAAATAATAAATTACGACGTTTCGGAGGCAACACATGTCTCCGTCATAAGGTGGGACCGTCACAGCTGAATTTACTGTATCATGTGATTCAGCTGTGACGGTCCCACCTGATGACGGAGACTTGTGTTGCCTCCGAAACGTCGTGATGTATTATTTTATTTCTATTATTACTTTTAGTAATTTATAATTTTATTTTTTACCTACGTGAAGTTTGTTGTCCTTACTTCTATTATTTCTTCTATTATTTTTATAATTTATCCCATATTATTTATTTATTTTTCCCTACGTGACTTTACCGAACGAACCTAAGAGTATGAATCCTTGCAGTCACGAAAGCTTCAAATCTAGAATTAAAGCTGAGTTTGTGTGTGAAAGTGAGTGTGTGGGGAGTGGAGAGCGGTGGTGTAGTGGTTAGCGCGCTGCGCAACGAACCCGGCGACTCGTGTCGAGTTCGATTCCCGCTCACGGCCAACACCGGTGACGATTATCTGAACCAGTCCTGGGCCTCTCCTAGGTCGACTCAGCCTCAAATGAGTACCTGGAACAGTGTGTAAATCATCGCCACTAGGAAGACAAAGGAGGCCGGGCGTGGTGCTGGCTTCCCACTCCCTCGTGTACCGTGCCGGCCTTCATAGGTGTTGTTCGTTAACAGCACTTGCCCCTACAGTCTGTTCAGGCTATACGGGGGATCTTTGTTTTGTTGTGGGGGAGTGGTAGTGTAGCAGTTAGCGCGCTGCGCTACGGAAGTGGTGACCCGAGTTCGACTCCCACTCACGACCATCTGAACCGGTCCTGGACCTCCTCTAGGTCAACTCAGCCTTAAATGAGGCCTGGTGTGTTTGTGTAAACATCACCACTGGGGAGACAAAGGCGGCCAGGCATGATTGTGTTCCGACTTACGAACGGGTCTCGGCAACGAATTACGTTCGTAAGCCCGGGACTGCCCATATGTATGTATGGATGTTGAACTTCATTCGCACCGTACGTATCTAACCGCACTAATTGGAGGTACCTTCACCAGACTCTTGCGACGCACTTACCGTCGGCTCTTCACCGTGTCCACGTTAACCCTCGCATAGCGTCGTACCCCAGCGTGCGGGAGCAGTGCACGCACGCTGGTGAGACGGCGCTGATGCTGGCGGTGCTGGCGGGGCGAGCGGGGAACGTCCGAGCACTTCTGGAGCGCGGGGTGCAACCGGACGGGCACGACGACCGCGGGGACAGCGCGCTGCTCGCCGGTGAGGCCGCAGAAGTCCGCGGTTCGACGCGGCAGGCCGACCCTGGTCAATACCTCCGATGGCCAGGGTTGGCTACGTACGGCGCGAAAGAAGTTCATTGTAGTGGTGACCGTTACGGATATGGTGATGTCATCCATATGAGAGCTGCGTGCTGATAGTTACGCTACGAAATTGACTAATTATAAGTGTTATGATGAAAAAACACTTGCAAATTACTTAATTGGGAAATGCAGCAATCGGAGACCCCTACTGTGTGGCGAGATGTTAACTACCTCGCCTGGTGTACAGGAGGTCGTGGGCTTGATCCTGACCCTGATGCCTATATATTGCATGCTTTCTCTGTGGTCGCGTGGATTTTTCTCCGGGTTCACATTTAGACTCAACAGGCGTTGAGAGTATTTTGCTGCTATAAATGTCCACGTGATAAGCCACTTCGTTGAGCTATCATTTGTGGCCAGGTCGCTTCTGAAAAAGAGCTGTGTAGCTCAGTGGGACTTACTTGGTAACGTAAAAAATTGTTGAGGTTAGAAACAGTCTTGACGCCCGGCATGGCTTTCTCAAGCAAGCAAGCAAGCGAATGCAATGATAACAATAACAACAACAATAATCTTGATTTGAAGCTTTCATGACTGCAGGAATCCATACTCTTTGGTTCTTTCGGTAAAGTCACGTAGGTAGAAACAAAATAAATCACGACGTTTCGAACGCAACACAAGCGCCCGTCTTCAGGTGAGAATCGCGACATCTGCGAAGTCTGCAGCGAGCAGCACGATGTCTGCTCACTTATCAGTGCCCTACCGTATTACAGACCAATTTTGACCCTATTGGTCACCCCGTGCCCTTATAAATCTCAATGTTCATCCTACAAAGTCCCATCACAAGGGAGAAACGCAGACAATTTCATTTTCTTTTTGCTTTGGTTCTGTCGGTAAAGTCACGTAGTTATTTCTAACTACGTGCCTTTACCGAAAGAACCAAAGAGTAACAACAATAATGATAATAAAAAAGTAACCCGTAAAAACAAAGTTTTTCACTATAAATCCTTTATATGCGTGGCATCGGTTTTATTTTATTATTCATTTCTGTTTTTCTTGAGTAAGAGTTTCATTTTTATCACATTGGTATTTTAAATTAAATATGACTTTTTTTTCCTAAAAAGTGGAAAATTTAGGAAATTTTTTTTCACGAAAATAAATTGTTACGCACAACGAGTCTGTGTGCAAAATGTCAGCTCGATTGGATCACGGGAAGTGGGTTAAAAAACGACCAAAAGATTTGCACGGTCGTAAGCGCGCAAGCAAGCAAGCAAGTGAACTAAATATAAACGATTTAATAAGTATAACCCGTAAAAACAAAGTTTTTCACTATAAATCCTTTATATGCGTGGCGGCTAGAGTCCTCTCGTCCTCTGGCTTGAGATGGCTACCACCTATGGGTCAGATGATTGCATTGCACCATTAAGCAATTGGTAATTAAATATTATATTTTTGTCCTAAAAAGTGTAAAATTTTTGAAACATTTTTTCACGAACATTAATTGTCACGCACAACGAGTCTGTGTGGAAAATGTCAGCTCGATTGGATCACAGGAAGTGGGTTTAAAAACGACCGAAAGATTTGCACGGTCGTAAGCGCGCAAGCAAGCAAGCAAGTGAACTTAATATAAACGATTTAATAAGTATAACCCGTAAAAACTAAGTTTTTCACTATAAATCCTTTATATGCGTGGCGGCTAGAGTCCTCTCGTCCTCTGGCTTGAGATGGCTACCACCTATGGGTCAGATGATTGCATTGCACCATTAAGCAATTGGTAATTAAATATTATATTTTTGTCCTAAAAAGTGTAAAATTTTGGAAAAAATTTTCACGAACATTAATTGTCACGCACAACGAGTCTGTGTGGAAAATGTCAGCTCGATTGGATCACGGGAAGTGGGTTAAAAAACGACCAAAAGATTTGCACGGTCCTAAGCAAGCAAGTGAACTTAATATAAAGGATTTAAAAAGAAAACCAGTAATCCGCCGCCCTCCGCAAGCGGTGCGCGCGGGCTCGCACCAGCTGGCCTCGCTGCTGCTCCGGCACGGCGCGGACCCGAACCTCGCGTGCGCCAAGCGGTGGACGGCCGTGCACGAAGCCGCCCGCGGGGGCCGCTCGCACATCCTGGCCCTGCTGCTGCACCACCGCGGCGACCCCAACCGGCGGGACGCGTTCGCCGTGACGCCGCTGGCCGTCGCGGCGCTGCACGGCAGGGTCGAGGCGCTGGAGCAGCTCATCCACAAAGGTGGGCGCCGTCGAGGGGAGTTGACGCCTCGCCCGCTGCTGCCTCCGCAGTGCCGGAGCGCAGGCCGGCACGTGCAGCGATAGCCAACGCCGTCGGATGAGATTGCGTCCGCGTCGGGGAGACTTGGGGAGAGTTGGGGAGACTTGGGGAGACTAGGGGAGACTTGGGGAGACTAGGGGAGACTTGGGGAGAGTTGGGGAGACGTCGGGGAGACTAGGGGAGACTAGGGGAGAGTTGGGGAGAGTTGTGGAGACTTGGGGAGAGTTGGGGAGAATAGGGGAGACTAGGGGAGACTTGGGGAGACTAGGGGAGACTAGGGGAGAGTTGGGGAGACTTGGGGAGACTAGGGGAGACTGGGGGAGACTTGGGGAGACTCGGGGAGACTAGGGGAGACTTGGGGAGACTAGGGGAGACTTGGGGAGACTAGGGGAGACTAGGGGAGAGTTGGGGAGACTCGGGGAGACTTGGGAAGACTCGGGGAGACTCGGGGAGACTAGGGGAGACTAGGGGAGACTAGGGGAGACTTGGGGAGACTAGGGGAGACTTGGGGAGACTAGGGGAGACTTGGGGAGACTAGGGGAGACTAGGGGAGAGTTGGGGAGACTCGGGGAGACTTGGGAAGACTCGGGGAGACTCGGGGAGACTAGGGGAGACTAGGGGAGACTAGGGGAGACTTGGGGAGACTAGGGGAGACTTGGGGAGACTAGGGGAGACTAGGGGAGAGTTGGGGAGACTCGGGGAGACTTGGGAAGACTCGGGGAGACTCGGGGAGACTAGGGGAGACTAGGGGAGACTTGGGGAGACTAGGGGAGACTGGGGGAGACTTGGGGAGACTAGGGGAGACTAGGGGAGACGAGGGGAGACGAGGGGAGACTTGGGGAGACTAGGGGCGACTTGGGGAGACGTCGGGGGGACGTCGGGGAGACTTGGGGAGACTCGGGGAGACTTGCGTGCGTGCGTCGGGGGCATCGCGTGTGCGTGCAGGCGGGGACGTCGGCGCGCGTGCCTGTGACGGCCAGTCGGCGCTGTTCGAAGCGGCGCGTGGCGGCAGCGCGGACTGCGTGGCGCTGCTGCTGCGGCATGGAGCGGACGCCAACGCCCCCAGCATGGAGGGACGCCTGCCCATCCACAGCGCGGCGCGGCACGGCCACTACCTGTGCGTACTGCGCTCGTGAATCTGCGGGGGCTGACGCCCACCACCTCCACTCCCCGCCTCCTCCTCGGCCACTTCTCGCCGGGCCCCCCGCCGATCGGGTGATCGGCACCCCCCTCGCCAGAGCCCTCTCTGAGGGACGTGGTTAAGTGCCTGGCTCACTACCGCCCGGAGTTATCCCACAACAACAACAACCGCCATTCGCCACTAAGTGGCGGTGACGTCACCACGACGCTTGTGCCAGGCCATGTGCACCTTGAGGCCACGTGAAGTGTCGAACGCCCGCTGGCAGGAGGTCACGGGGCAGACCCAGGTGCAACGGGTCGACTGATTGAGATGACCGAGATGACTGGCTGATGCACCACCTGTGCCCCCTACTGTACCAACTTGCTGTGCTTTAGCCACCCGGCGCTACGCTCGTTGTTGTGAGCGTCGCTCCTCCGCCCTCCGTTGTTGTTGGAGGGCGACTGCCTCCAACTGCCCAGTAGCGTCCTTCACGAGCCTCCTCCACAGAGGCCGATCTTGACACACACTCCAACACGTACACCGCCACTAACCCGGAGGTGGCTGCGTGCACGCGCGTGCCCGTGCAGGCGCACGTCGCTCACCAAGGCTAGCGCTGAAAATAGTCGTATGAATATGCACGCGCCCCCTTAATCCGCTGTGCAAACAGATGCTACTGCTCGCGGGAAGGGGACGGCTGGGACAGGGCTGTATGAATATGCACCCCTACTGGTGTTAAACGAAAAGAAGGAGGTGACCTGGGTGCACGTCTCGCCGTTGAGGCTATTTCCTACTGTGTAAACGCGCACGCGAGCGCAAGCACGCGTAAACAATGACGGTCGTATAGATGGTAATAGCTGCGCACCTCACACACCAACCCCGCGCTGACATCCTGCAGTCCCGCGCTCGCTCTCTCACGCACCCCCCCCCCCCCCCGCATGCAGTCGCTCCACTCAAAAATCAGACACCACGCCGAACTTCACCCACACACACAGGAATCACACTACACCGATCTGCTGAACTGAAGTTTATTAATGGCGCGTCTTTAGAAAACCCTGTGCGGCCCGGAGTAAATATTCAGCGAGCAGCGCCTAGCCCAGGGGTCGGGAACCTTTTGACTGGGAGAGCCATAAAAGCCAAATATTTCTAAATATATTGCATTGAGAGCCATATAGTATTTTTAACGTATAATAAATTAAATATGTCTTACTTTTAATGCGACTTCTGGTGCTGCATGGTTTTGCTGATGGCCTTGTAGTCTGGTTCATACGTGGTGAGGTTGAGCTTCATGCAGGCGTGACCCGTGAAATTTATCTTCAAAGCTAATTTCTGTTTACTTTAAAATGACACAGTATTATTAAGCAATATCACAAGTATTTTAAAATCAGTTCCAAACTGATTTTTTATTATTATTTTTGTCAACTCAAAATTGTCTGGGAGCCATATGCCGTCACCGAAAGAGCCATATATGGCTCGCGAGCCATAGGTTCCCGACCGCTGGCCTAGCCTATCCCTATTCAATCCCTGGGTGTACCCTCACTCTACTTGTCACCTCACAGACGCACTCACGGTGTCGCACGGACACACTGGGAGACAGACCGGGCAGCTGAACAGCTAGAGGAGAACTCCTCAACGTCTTTCCGCTCCTTCCTTTTATGCCCTCGGAATCCAAAGATCCCGGGTCACGTGGTGTTATTCTGTGCGGCCAATCGGGCGCCTACTTTTCGATTTAAAACCGATGCTTCCCATTACGCCTCGATCCGTTGTCTAGGCCCCCGTCCTCCCCACCCCGGACTCAACCGGTTTGGTCGGGGTGGCCGTCCCGCGGAATACACAGCTGTAGTCGGTCCAGGGATTTCCCTCCGACCTCCTCCTACGCGCTGCTTGTGGAGTGTTTGCCCTCGAGGCCCCATCCCCCTGTGCTGTGAGTGTCTCATTGCGGTCAGCCCGGTCAGCTTCGTCGCGCCCATACAACTTTAAGCCAATTCACGGGGGGGGGGCCGCAATGCAATTTGGCCTCGGGGGGGTCGGCCAATCTCCTGGCACTGGGAAACCGTGGGACATCCCCGCTAGGGGCCCCTCGGGTAAAAACCCATGGTACCAGGTGACCCCCTCCACACGAGACCCTACGTGGGTGCGTGTGTCAGAATCAGAAAGGGGTTTTATTCACCACTAGCGGAAGTACCCGGCTTTGCCCGGGTGAAAAATATCTTTCTTAAAAGCCTTACATATATATACACAGATACTAAGGTATTGTCAAAGCCCGGTGGGCTGTTTGTACATTTTTCCACCAACAAATATATAAGAGGCTTTCACAAGTCCAAAAAGTTGTAGAAAGTGTGGGGTAAATAGTTGATGTCAAAATGTTTCCGAAAATTGTGGTCTTCCCCCCCCCTCAAAAAATATCTTTACCCCTCGTAGGTATATATACTAACAACACCTTACATACAACAGAGGAAGTGGTATCTATTGACTCTGTAGTAGTATCTACTGACTGTACCGTAGTATCTACTGAGCCAGTAGTAGCTACTGACTGTGTAGTAGTATTTAGTGACTGTAATAACTACTGACCATAGTAGTATTTACTGGGCCTACAGTAGTATCTACCGACTATATACTCGTAACGACTAACTGTATAGTATCTGCTGACTCTATAGTTGTATCCACTGACTATAGTAGTAACTACAAAATCTATAGCAGTATCTACTCACTCTATAATAGTATCTACTGACTCTAGTAGCTACTCACCGTGGTAGTATGTACTGACTGTATAGTAGTATATACTGACTGTAGCAGTATTGACTGACTGTAGCGGTATATACTGACTGTTTTAGTATTTACTATAGCGGTATCTACCAACTCGATAGCAGTATCTACTATCACTACCGCAGTGTATACCGACTGAGGTCGTACCTGCTATCACTACAGCAGTGCATACTGCTGTGTTGGTATCTGCTATGATGAGAGGAGTACATATTGTGGTGGTGGTACCTGGTATGATAACAGCAGTGCATATTGACTGTACTCATCATTCACCCTCACCATTCACCACTCACAACTCACCCTTACCACTCATCCTCACCACTCACCACTCCCACTCACTATTCACCATTCACCCTCACAACTCACCACTCACCAACCTCCCTCACCAATCTCCCTCACCACTCACCCTCACCACTCACCCTCACCACTCACTCTCACCAATAACCCTCACCACTAACCCTCACCACTCTCACTCACCACTCTCCCTCACCACTCACCACTCACTCTCACCATTCACCCTCACCATTCAGCCTCACCACTCACCCTCACCACTCACTCTCACCACTCACCGTCACAACCACCACTCACCCTCACCACTTAACTTCACCCTCACTACTCACCATTCATCCTCACCAATCACCACTGACCAATCACCACTCACCACTCTCCACTAACCCTCACCACTCAACCTCACCACTCACCCTCAAAACTAACCACTCTCTCACCACTCACCCTCACCACTCACCCTCACCACTCACCCTCACCACTCACCCTCACAACAACCACTCACCCTCACCACTCACCCTGACCACTCATCCTCACCAATCACACCCTCACCAATCACCACTCACCCGCACTGCTCACCCTCACCACTCACGCTCACCCTCACCACTCACCCCTCACTAATCACCACTCATAACCGCCACTCATCCTCACCACTCACCACTCACCCTCAACACTCACCCTCACCACTCACCGTCACCACTCACCCTCACTACTCACCGTCACCACTCACCCTCACTACTCACCACTCATCCTCACCAATCACACCCTCAACAATCACCACTCACCCTCACCACTCACCCTCACCACTCACTCTCACCACTCACCATCACAACAACCACTCACCCTCACCGCTCAGCACTCACCCTCACTACTCACCCTCACCACTCACCACTAATCCTCACCAATCACACCCTCACCAATCACCACTCACCCTCACTGCTCACCCTCACCACTCACCACTCAACCTCACCCTCACCACTCACGCTCACCCTCACCACTCACCTCTCACTAATCACCACTCACAACTGCCACTCACCCTCCCCACTCACCCTCACCACTCACCCTCACCACTCACCGCTCACCACTCACCCTGACCACTCACCACTCATCCTCACCAATCACATCCTCACCAATCACCACTCACCCTCACTGCTCACCACTCAACCTCACCACTCATGCTCACCCTCACCACTCACCCCTCACTAATCACCACTAACAACTGCCACTCACCCTCCCCACTCACCCTCACCACTCACCCTCACCAATCACCACTCACCCTCACCACTTACCCTCACCACTCACTACTTTCCCTCACCACTCTCCCTCACCATTCTCCCTCACCACTCTCCCTCACCACTCTCCCTCACCACTCTCCCTCACCAGTCACGCTCACCACTCACCCTCACTACTCACCCTAACCACTCACCACTCACCCTCAACACTCACCGCTCACCACTCACCCTGACCACTCACCACTCATCCTCACCAATCACACCCTCACCAATCACCACTCACCCTCACTGCTCAACCTCACCGCTCACCCTCACCACTCACCCTAACCACTCACGCTCACCCTCACCACTCACCCCTCACTAATCACCACTCACAACCGCCACTCACCCTCACCACTCACCACTCACCCTCACCACTCACCCTCACTACTCACCACTCATCCTCACCACTCACGCTCAACACTCACCCTCACTAATCACCTCTCACAACCGTCACTCACCCTCACCACTCACTCTTACCACTCACCCTCACCACTCACCCTCACAACAACCACTCACCCTCACTACTCACCCTCACCACTCATCCTCACCACTCACCCTCACCACTCAACCTCACCCTCACCACTCACCTTCACCACTTACCACTCACCCTCACCATTTACCACTCACCCTCACCACTTACCACTCACCCTCACCACTCACCCTCACCCTCACCACTCACCTTCACCACTTGCCACTCACCCTCACCACTCACCACTCACCCTCACCATTCACCCTCACCACTCTCCCTCACCACTCATCCTCACCAATCACACCCTCACCAATCACCACTCACCCTCAACACTCATCCTCACCACTCACCCTCACCATTCACCCTCACCACTCTCCCTCACCACTCTCCCTCACCACTCATCCTCACCAATCACACCCTCACCAATCACCACTCACCCTCAACACTCACCCTCACCACTCACCACTCACCCTCACCATTCACCCTCACCACTCTCCCTCACCACCCATCCTCACCAATCACACCCTCACCAATCACCACTCACCGTCACCACTTGCCACTCACCCTCACCACTCACCCTCACCACTCACCACTCACCCTCACCATTCACCCTCACCACTCTCCCTCACCACTCTCCCTCACCACTCATCCTCACCAATCACACCCTCACCAATCACCACTCACCCTCAACACTCACCCTCACCACTCACCCTCACCATTCACCCTCACCACTCTCCCTCACCACTCATCCTCACCAATCACACCCTCACCAATCACCACTCACCCTCAACACTCATCCTCACCACTCACCCTCACCATTCACCCTCACCACTCTCCCTCACCACTCATCCTCACCAATCACACCCTCACCAATCACCACTCACCCTCAACACTCACCCTCACCACTCACCATTCACCCTCACTACTCATCCTCACCAATCACACCCTCACCATTATATTTTTGCCCCAGTCAACGCCGGATATTTCCCATTCGTAGCAGTTTATATCAACTCTATAACCAACTTATATTAAACGGGAACAGCGCCTTCCAAAAGTAATCTACAACCTTCGATTCGTCCTTTGTGCGATTCAAAGAATCGATTCCTGGCATGTTGGGGGTTTACATTTTGAATGACAGAGTTTTATTTTCATTGATATGTTATGTTTTAATGTTTTCAGGAGTTTTTAATAACATTTTTGCCCCGGTCAACGCCGGATATTTCCCGTTCGTAGCAGTTTATATCGACTTTAACCAACTTATAGTAAACGGGAATCGTCCGAATCTAAAGGAATCTACAACCTTCGATTCCTTTTCGCGATTCAGAGAATCGATTCTTGGCGCGTCGGGTTTAAAAGTAATTACACAGTTGTATTTTCATTGGTATGTAATGTTTTAAAGTTTTCAGAAGATTTTAAATGTATTTTCCCCCCGGGCAACGCCGGGTATATCGAGTTTATACCACAAAGTCGTCGCTTGACACGGGTGGGGTGTCGAGGCCTAGTACCGTGCAGAGCCTCCGGCCTTGCCTAGATTGCCTACCCAGCTGAGGCTGTGTACTGGGGCCAATACCCCCCCCCCCCCCGCGCTACAATAATACTGTCTAATCGCTATAATTTTATTATCTACCGACCCTATAATAGTAATTGCACACATTGGGGTGGGGGGGGAGTGAAGAGGACGTGAAACTTTGATGAATTTACCTCAGAATCGCGTGTTAATGCGTGCGCATATTTTTAATGGTAATTCAAAATGGCGTCCACCCCGCAGCGAACGCGTTGCTATCCGTTGCCAGGGGCAACCGCCGTGGTCCGCGCCGGCCGGCAAGAGTAAATAAATAAATAAAGCGTTAACTAAATAAATAAAGATTGATCGCACTAAATCGATAATCGGTCCGATTTAAAGTTTAGAGACGAAAAATCGGAAATGCCTAAGTTTACCGCGGGGCCGGGGGCGTGCCCACCTGCAAAATTTAATCTCGCCGAACCCCACGGTCCGAGAGCTAAATCCCCCGGTAGGGAGCGTACGCGGACGGACGGACGGACGGACGGACAAAAAATGAATTATATAGGTTAGATGAAAGTTCACACAGACAAGGAATTTACTTTGGCAGGAAGGTGCATACATTCAACATATAGGAATCTTAAATCTTGAATAAGTGGTGTAGAAGTCTAACTATACTAAAGGTACACAGTCTAACTAATACCTAATACTAAGGAGCTAAAGTATGTAAAAATGTAATAAAATAAAATCTAAAATATACAATAGCTATAATATACAATATAAAATTACAAAAATGAAAGTAGGGTAACATAGTGTAAATATGGCAGGGTGTCATTGTGTAGATATTGCGTTAAAGTCAGTTCGAGTGTTAAAGTCAGTTTGAGCCCCTGGCCTTGTTGAATAGGCCAGCAGCGGATGTGAAGAAGCTGTGTTTGTGGCGTGAGGTTTTGGTCCTGATGGACCGCAGCCTTCTGCCGGAGGGGAGGAGCTGGAACAGAGCGTGTCCAGGATGAGAGGAGTCAGCCACAATCTTCCTCGCTCGCCTCAGGGTCCTCGTGTGTTTAGTGGGGGTGTGCGTGCGTTCGTGTGGAGTGGTTCGAGGGGATGCCAGCGCCCTTCCTGTGGCACGCACGCTCGGCCTCTGACTCTCTCGCGCACACCGCTGTGCGTGGCGCAGGGCGCTGCAGCAGCTGGCCGAGGCGACGTCGCCGCAAGCGATCGCGGCCAGCGGCGTGAGCCCGGTGCACGCGGCCACGGACGGCGGCCACGCCGAGTGCCTGCGGCTGCTGCTCGAGGGCGGCCGCTGCGACGTGAACGCCGCGCTGGCGACCCACGCCGCCGGCGAGCACGGGGACGGCCGCCGCTCGGCCCTCTTCTTCGCCGTCGCCAACGGAGACGTCGTCTGCGCGCGGCTGCTGCTGCAGGGTGAGGCAAAGGCGGCCGGGCGTGGCGCCGGTCCCCCCACGTGTGCCGCGGTGCCGGCCTTCGTGGGCGCCGCTCGCTGTCGGGGCTACACGGCGGGGGGTGATCTCTGTCTTTGCCGCACGTAGCGGGCGCGCTGCCTAACCAGGACCCTCTGAACGCGCTGGTGGTCGCGGTGCAGAGCGGCGACCGCGACCTCGCGCGCCTGCTGCTGCGCCACGGGGCCGACGTCAACTTCCGCTCGACGCTCAACTCGACGCGCTTCCCCAGCGCCCTGCAGTACGCCCTGAAGGCACGCGGCGCACAAACAGGGGCCGCCCCCGGAGGGAGGCCGCGGGCTAGATGCCACCTAGCCACCGCCCCCCACCCCCCCCCCCCCAGCGGTGGCTAGGAGATGTTAACTACCTCGCCTGGTATACAGGAGGTCGTGGGTTTTATCCCGACCCTGAAAATGCCTGCTGTATAATTGGAGTTTGTGTATCTCTCATCATCATCACGGTGGCTAGGAGATGTTAACTACCTCTCCTGGAATACAGGAGGTCGTGGGTTCGATCCTGACCCCTGACGCCTGCTGCTGTATAATTGGAGTTTGCGCATCTCTCTCTCTCCCCGTGGTCGCCTGGATTATTTTCCGGGTCCTCCGTTTCCCCCCCCCCCTCCGCATTTACATTTTGGCTGCTTTGAATTCCCACGCGTACCGCGCTGTTGTTGAAAACGAAGCCTCGGAATACGCCGAACGGGCATCGACCCTACGAATCGGTGCGCCTGGTGCAACGCAACGGGGTAGCCGCGATCGCTGCGGGCTTGTTGCGTGCGTGCGTGCGTGTGCCGCGCTGTGCGCAGGACGAGGCGACGCTGCGGCTGCTGATGAACTACGGCTGCGACGTGCGCTCGTGCTTCGAGTGCTCGCACGGCGACGACGACGACCCCACGAGGATGGTGCTCACCTCGTCCG